TTTGCTTCAAATTTTCAGTTATCAATTCTTGGAAAGTTGGATTGCTTTTTGTCTGTTTAATAGTCCCAATGAGTGAACAGAATATTGCCTCGAGTCATTCTTTGAAAAGTACAGCCGGGTCTTTTCTATCACAAATTCACAGTGCTTCAAGCCTGCCTACGTTTAGCTTAAGTTTTTTTGTCTCTTGATTGACACCTGTGCAAATGTTTGCTGCTGTACTTGTAAGTTTGTTTTTCCCCCTTCCCCTAGTTCCTCACCTTTGATGTTGTCTACTACTGCTTGCACCCTCCTGTGTGCATTAGTTGACTGATATATTATATCACGCACACTGCTTGCAGTATTGACTGATCTCGAGTCCTGGACGAAAATGCAGCCCAACGACAAAGGCTACCAAATCCGGCAGCGTCGGTTGCATCGCATCGCATCGCTCCGGGCCCTATTCTACAGTATCATCACAACAGCCTGCAGCCTACTTTTTCTGATGGTTTTTGTCCCCTGGTTGTTGAGGCCAACAAATCCTTTTCCATTTTCTAGCTACAAAACCATCATCTTCAAGAGGACATCTTGGACATCTCGGAAAACGTTTGCAAGGCAGCGAGGAAGCAAGCGGTGCAGCCGAAACGAGCAAAAAGTTTGGCGGTAAAGTAAACCGCGGGATGGAGACACCACCACCAACGACAACAAAACACCAAGGCCCTTGACCGGTGATGAATGCTTAGGCAATAGGCTCAATGCTGACCCCACCCCCCCCCCCCCCCTCCCCGCCAGGCGGTTGCCGGGCGCGCGCTTAGAGCATCACCAACAAATAACCAATAAATCAACTCCCAAAATGACCTTTTAGGGATTTGTAACTAGGATTTGAGGATCTAAAATATCCTCTCTTCCAACAAACTATGTAAACATGGTTCTGTATAATAAAAAGTGGGACCACCTAAAAAACTATCAACCGTTCCCCTTCCTATATAGACAGGTGGGCCCACCTAGCTGTGCCTTTTCTTCCTCTTCCTCATCTTCTCTCTGTTCTCTCCTCCTGCACGGCTGCACGACGAGCTGGTGGTGGCATGAATCGGGGCCGATAGCGGACGAGCTTGCGACAGCCAGTGGCGACGCAAATCGGGGTTTGGTGGTGGGTGAGCTCGCGACGTCCGATGGCGTTGCTAATCAATCCGCAGGCCGATGAGCTCGCGACCACCGCCGGCGGCATAAAACGGGGGTATCTGGGGTAGGAGGATCCCGGTGGCCGGTGACACAAATCAAACTGACAACCGACAAGCTAGCAACAGGCGGCCGCGGTGCAAATCGGAGCTCCGGGAGGTGCGAATAGAAATCGAGCCATGGGTGGACGAGGGAGTGACTCGGCCGTGGGTGCGAATCAGGGCTCCATTGGGAGCGTGAATCGAGCTTGTGGCGGACGAGCTCGCGACGGCTATCGGCGATGTGATTCGAGGTTCGGCATCGACGCGAATCAAGTCGGAGGAGGAGGAACTAGTGACAGGTTTGTGGCGAACAAGCTTGCTGTGGCTGCCGGCGACGCGAATAGTGGTCCGGCGGCTACGCGAATTAAGTCGGCGGAGGAACAAGCGACAGACCTACGGCACACGAGCTCTGAGTCTGGCGGCAGTGCGAATTGACGCTATGGCGGACGAGCTCTAGGGCCAGCGGCACCAGACAAGCTCGCAACGAGCCGGCGACGGAGGAGCTCGGGGGCTGCCGGCGGTGGTAGACGAGCTCATGATGGCTAGGACATTTCACCAGCGCGCGCGAATTCGTGCGATCGGTGGATTGGGAGTCCATCGGTCTTCCCAACATGTGGAGATCGAGAATGACGGGGTTGGGATTTCCAATTTTTTGGGATCTTGATTGGAGTTCTGTTGGAGCTAAAATTTTCCATAAAACTTCAAAATTTTAGGATTGGGAGTAGTATTGGGCATCTCTTGGGCATGCTCTTAATTTCTCACAATCTCGACGGCCGCCCCATCCGCGCGCCTCTCCGTTCCCTCGTGTGGAAGGTGGAATTCACTCGCCGGCCACTTGGCCACCGGCCGCCGGCTGGGCTCCGCGAAACTTCCTTATCGATCCACGGTGAGCTCCCATGGTTTGCGCCGACCACTTGCGTCCATGCGGCTAAGAGGGAATAACGAGCCAGTCGAGCCTCATTAACTCTAGCAAGCTAAGGCGCTCTTTAGATGGGGAAACTTTTTAAGTCCCTGTCACATCGGATGTTTAACGTTAATTTGGAGTATTGAATATAGACTAATAAAAAATTAATTTCATAAATAAGAGTTAATCCGTGAGACGAATTTTTTAAGACTAATTAATCTATGATTATTAAAAGTTTACTTTAGCATCACATTGTTAAATCATGGTGTAATTATGTTCAAAAGATTCGTCTCGCGAATTAGTCCAAGGTTATGAAATGTGTTTTGTATTTAATCTATGTTTAATACTCTAAATTAGTGTCCAAACATCGGATGTAACATGACAAATCCCTGTTTTCCAAACAGCCCCAAAAAAACCAAAAAACCATGCCTTGGCTAGGTTCGTGAGCTGACTTTGTCAACCTAGTTAGATTCGTTAATCAGTTTTATCCCAATTATATCAGCTTTAAAAATGTGATATATGCCATGCGTCGACAACAGAAAATAAACACTAACTAAGAATAGTATTCAAAGTTGATTTTTTTTAGGAACGGAGGAAGTACATATTAGTTAGAATAGACATATTTCTTTTACTAATGAGTAAAACTAGTAGCTCGCAAGTAGCCTTGCAAATGAGTTAAAACTTTGGCTCCGCTCAGTTCGTTACAATTATAAGTTCGATTTGATTCAAACTAATTTTCTTAAATATACTCCCTCCGTCTCCTATTATAAGGGATTTTGACATTTTATTTGCATTGTTTGACCACTCGTCTTATTCAAAAAAAATTTGTGCAAATATAAGAAAACGAAAAGTTGTACTTAAAATTACTTTGGATAATAAAGTAAGTCAAAAAAAATAATAATTCCATTTTTTTTAATAAGACGAATGGTCAAACAGTACAAGCAAAATGTCAATATTCCTTATATTAAGTAACGGAGGGAGTATGTAGTAAGAAAAAAAATACTAGATTATAACCTAGAAGACAACCACAAAAAGAAAAAAACAAAGGCAAATCATCACATGTTGATAGCTCGTAACACACATTCCTGAGAAAAAAAAAAAGACTAGCGCCAAGCTGGCTGCCGCCAGCCCCAAGATGGCATAAACGCACCGTACTATCACATCTCCAAATAGAAAAGCCACCAACGCACTCGTGGTCATCCCCACAAAGATGGATTTACCGAGGGAGAGTGTGAGAGAGAAGAAAATTCACTCATCCCTCGTTCAAACTTCAAACCCAAAGACGATTCCCAAGAGCTTTGTCGAAGACCTTACTAATTAGTGGTGACATAGGATAGAAACAGAATATTCTTAAAACGACGCTCGTAAGAATAACGTGACACCGAAAGTACCGTCGCTATTCATCCAATGACTCGTATAACTGATTTTCACCTGGAGAGTCCTATCAGAGAGAAGAAAGAGGCACGACGACAATGGCCCAAGGGAGATCACGACGCTCAAGGATCCAAACCGATTTGAGCCATGAATTTAAGTGTTTTTTTTTTTCACCTCACGTGCGGCTCGATTAATTTTGGCCGTACTGGGACTGGCCATCGTGCCGGTGGATCGATACATGCATGGAGACCGACTATATATACATGCACACTCCCAGGATGATCGAGTTGCCGGCCGGTGCATGCACCATGTCGATCGTACCGGTGGTACCGGTGACGGATATGGTAAAAAAAAAATAGTGGGATGATTCTTACAGTCTTTACGTCAGAAGACCCCAACGCCCCTATGCTGGATCCATCTCCGGGTGGTACTGCAGCATGGCATGGAGGCCTTCTTCCTGGGAGAATGCATGGTTTGCCATATGCATACACAGGAGACACTGCATGCAAACCAAGATTCAACACAAGTCTTAATTATCACATGGAAGAGAAATATATGTTTAAGAAAAACACAAAAATATTCCTCTCCCAGAGTACTGAATCATCCCTTAAGCGGATATCCTATTATTTTTATATGTCACTTAAAAAGTCATCAAAATAATTTAGTAGGATAGAACAATATGTGATATGCTACTTCACAAACATGCAAATTTAAATTCCACTTATACAAATAGAAACAAAAACAATAAATTTGACTATGAATATAATGCGTAATTCACGGTCAAATTTGTTATTTTTGTTTCGAATTGTATAAGTCGAATTTTAATTCGCATGTTTGCGAAAAGATATATTATATATTGATCTATCATAATAATTTTTTTTAAAAAAATTGGTAACTTTTTAAACGATATGTATGAAATGAGGGGATGTCAGTCTCGAGAGACAAGAACCACTTCTTATATATCCGCCCAGTGAGATCGCCCCTGGCCTGTACACCAAAAAAAAAATCCGCTCCCAACACGCCAGACGCGTTTCGATCGTCTCCCGATGATTTCCGGTGCGGTGACACAAGCTCTTTCAGCACGAACGGATTGCTCATGGACCTATCTGTCGTAAGAAAAACCAATGCATGTCGATGAGCGTTGCAGTGTGTGTGCAGATCCGTCGAAATTAATGATATTATTCTCTCCAATGCTAGCATGCTAGATTCGTGAGGCGTCGTCGATGCGGCTATACAAAATTAACATTCTTAAATCCATGGGTTGATCACTTCTTAAATTACCTAGCTACTGTATAAATGCGCGGGGCCTAGAATTGAACCTTCAATATCATTTCTACAGTAGATTAATTGCTCGCTCTTCCTTTTTCTTTAAAGATAATCAACACTAGCTTACTTAATAAATCCAACCTCCAACTATTTTTTTGTCAATTAATTAATGGATTAATTAAACAACATATTGCGACACCACCCCCATGCTGCCATGCACCCTAGCTATAAATACGCTCCACTCCCAGCTGCTTAGCTCAGTCTCTCGCGGTCTCTCGCGCCATCGATCGAAACGGGTCACTGAGTCTCGCAGCTTCGCCGGCGCCGGAGAGAGACACGACACGATCGATGGCGATCGCGTCCATGGCCGCCGCCGCCGCCGCCGCGATCGTCGGCGCGGTGCGGGAGCACGTGCGGGCGAGCGACCTGGCGGTGGCCGGCGCGGTGCTGTTCGCGTTCAGCGCCGCCGTGAGCGCGGTGCGGGCGCGGCGCCGCGGGGCGCCGGTGCTGTGGCCGCTAGTGGGCATCGTGCCCACGCTGTTCGTCCACCGCGACGACATCTACGAGTGGGGCTCCGCCGCGCTGCTGCGCGCCGGCGGCGTGTTCCCGTACCGCGGCACGTGGGGCGGGGGCTCCTCCGGCGTCATAACCTCCGCGCCGGCCAACGTCGAGCACGTGCTCAGGGCCAACTTCGGCAACTACCCCAAGGGGCCCTACTACCGGGAGCGCTTCGTCGAGCTGCTCGGCGGCGGTATCTTCAACGCCGACGGCGAGGCGTGGCGCGCCCAGCGCCGGGCGGCCACCGCCGAGATGCACTCGTCGCGGTTCGTGGAGTTCTCGGTGAGGAGCATCGAGCAGCTGGTGTACGGCCGCCTCGTGCCGCTGGCCGAGCGGCTGAGTGGCGGCGGCGCCGCCGTCGACCTCCAGGAGGTGCTGCTCCGGTTCACGTTCGACAACATCTGCGCCGTGGCGTTCGGGGTGGACGCCGGGTGCCTCGCCGACGGCCTCCCCGACGTGCCGTTCGCGCGCGCGTTCGAGCTCGCCACGGAGCTCTCGCTCCTGCGGTTCGTCACCCCGCCCTTCATCTGGAAGGCCAAGCGGCTCCTCCGCGCCGGCAGCGAGCGGCGGCTCGTCGAGGCCACGCGCGCCGTCCGCGAGTTCGCCGAGCGGGCGGTCGCCGACCGCCGGAACGAGATGCGCAAGGTCGGGAGCCTGCGCGGCCGGTGCGACCTCCTGTCGCGGCTCATGTCATCGGCGCCGGGCGCCGACTACTCCAACGAGTTCCTCCGCGACTTCTGCATCAGCTTCATCCTCGCGGGCCGCGACACGAGCTCCGTGGGGCTCGCCTGGTTCTTCTGGCTGCTCGCCGGCCACCCCGACGTCGAGTCCCGCGTCGTCGGCGACGTCCTCGCCGCGGGCGGCGACATCAAGAGGATGGACTACCTCCACGCGGCGCTCACGGAGGCGATGCGGCTGTACCCGCCGGTGCCCGTCGACTTCAAGGAGGCCCTCGCCGACGACGTGCTCCCGGACGGCACGCCGGTGCGAGCGCGGCAGCGCGTGATCTACTACACCTACGCGATCGGGCGCGACCCGGCGTCGTGGGGCGACGACGCGGCCGCGTTCCGGCCCGAGCGGTGGATGCGCGGCGGCGCGTTCGCCGGCGGCGAGAGCCCGTTCAAGTACGCGGTGTTCAACGCCGGCCCGAGGCTGTGCATCGGGAAGCGGTTCGCCTACACGCAGATGAAGACCGCGGCGGCGGCGGTGCTGTCCAGGTTCGCCGTCGAGGTGGTGCCCGGGCAGGAGGTGAAGCCGAAGCTGACCACGACGCTGTACATGAAGAACGGCCTCATGGTGCGCTTCAGGAGGAGGTCGCCGCCGCCACCGTCGCCGCCGCCGCGCCACGTCGTCGCCGACGACGACGACGACGACGACGTTGCAGCCGGTCGCCACGTTGCTGTCGGAAGCTGCAACAGTAACCATCTCTAACCAACCAAACAGTCTCTGTCGTTACTCCGCATTGCTAATTAACAAACTACTCACACACATTGCTTTCCCGCGCTAATTGTCATTAGAAAATCGTAATCTCGAGGACTGGACTGATCGCTGTACTGTGAAACAGCTCAAGAGTGAAGAGCAGCTGGTGCCGTCTCGCGCTGGACTACAGTGTGGCGGAAAAAGACGCGATCGATCAAATCATCAGACATTTCTGCTTACTACTCCGTATATTTTTCTTGCCTGTGTGACTGTGTATGTGTGTTCATCTCTGGTGTACCCCATCCGTCCCGAAATAAGTGGACTCTATATCTAAATTCGTATGCTAGTACGAAGATAGTTTATTTTAGAGCGGATGGATACTAAATATTGTGATACTAAACAAGTGTATTCTACCTCTCAAAGAGGATGTCTGCCCGTGTATGTACCTTTATTTCCAAAGAAAAAAGCATAGTTTAATTTTGTCCATCAGCAATTGTTTTGGTCCATCTTTTACAATTGGTTCTCAAAATCATTCATGTGTCATCTGTTGCAATTTTTTTTACGTCCACGTCTACGTAAAGACAACAATAATGTCATCAATTAATCAACGATAGTAAACAATAGAAAGATAGAGAAACGTATAAGCAAATAATAGAACATAAATAATGTCATCCTTATCTATTTTCTATATCTTCCATCTCGTAGATATTGTTTTTATTTTTGATTTGTCAGTAAGATGCAACAGGGGGCAATGTACCAAAAACCACCATTTTTTGGGTCCAACGATGAAATATAAATGATTTTGAAGGTTTTTTATACCAACATTAATCGGTTCCATGGATAAGGGACCAAAACAAATGGAACAAGGCCATAATCAACGAACTGAATGTGTATATTTTAGTTTTAAAATATAATTCAAATACTTGTAAGGAATTAGTAAAAAAACAGTACATTGGTATCTACTAGTACACCACAAAAATCCTAGTCTAAGCTTGACATGTATATAAAGTGAGAAGAAAAATTAATTAAATACGGTGGTAATTAACACAGTGCACATACTGTTTGCAGTTTGGATTTTCTTTGATGTGTTGGTCAAACTTAGACTTCAAATGTTCTACTAGGATATTATATGTATGTGCTAGTCACCAATCATGTCTTACACAAACTATTGTTATTGATGTTACAAATATTAAAATGTTAATCATGATGAACACATCGATTATTATTTTTCTGAAATATAAGAGCTTAGATTAATAGAAGAGTACGTCCATGTCAATTACATCGTGCTAATTATTTATTGTAGATTTTTAGAATTGAATTCATGAGTATTAATAAACTAAGAGTACATCTCACATTTGTTGATTCTGAATTTCAAAATTATTAAATTTCAGAACAACTGTAATTAAAAGAGATCGAGCATGGTATACATGGATTCTTAATTCGATCAACATTCATAGTAATACAACCCACCTAATTAAGTACCTAACTGTCGAAACTAGATTTCGGCAATAATAAAAGGGGGTGGCTATCAAGCTCGGAAAGTGTATGGGTTTGGAGACAAAGGATTTATACAGGTTCAGGCCTTCTTATAAAAGAAGTAATACCCTACTCCTGTCCGGGGATGAATCCGCCGAGTGTATTATTAATTGTATGATTCGGGAAAAATCAGCATATGCCCCTAGAGGCGCCCGGACCCCCCTTATATATGGGAAGGAGTCCGGATTACAAAAGATAATCTATATTCCTAACGGAATATGAAGATAGAGGTAAAATACAGTCGTAACCGACTAAGTCTCAGGGTGTTTCCTTGATACACAAGTTAAGAAACAAACCCGAGATACAGATAAGATATTCTATCTACATTAAGTATCCGGTACCCAGTTCGAATACCGTCGCCGTGTAGATATGGGATACCCATAATCTCCACAGTAGCCCCCGAGTCCTTTGCAGTCGACCATCGTAGCCTTCTCAAAGTTGATAACCCGAGTACTTCAAACTCTTCAAGCCAAAACCTGCCGAGTGGACTGTAAAGGGCGAAAAGATGAAGAATATGGTGCATCGAATAGATGCACCTAATTAGGTGTAGCCCCCAACTATGTGATTAGTTAACAAACTAAACATATAGTTGAAAGACAAAATAATAACACAATTGTGCATTATATGACAAAAGCATACGCGGCGCCTAAATAGGCATGCTAGCCGACTGCTTTTTAGCCACAATAAAAGAAATCCGAGTGGTTTACATTCTAAAAAGTTCACGAATGAACACACTTGACAGGCATCCGAATATACAAACTCTAAAGATTACCCATCAAGTATCATAAAGATTATGGTAATAAATAAGTCAAATAGCCTAGGCCATGACTATTTACCATGAAAACAGGCATATAACACGCCAAGGAAATGACTATAATAAAAACAAGTCATCCCTAGTTAACCCAAACAGCTTTTGTAGCCTAAAAAAGCTTGCAAAAACAGCATAACGCCTTTCTGTCGGGCACCTTTTTAATTTGCATTGCAATAATTCCAAAGAATTATATGACCGCATAAAAAGGATTTCATCAGCATTGGGCAACACTGTTGTGCGCATAATATTGCCAAAGCAAAATATGCCTAAGTCCCTAAGGAACACAATGGGCCACGCTGTTAAAAGTATTGGGCTGAAGTACTGTTCAGGCCTAGGCCCATTAGCACCTCCGATACCCTTAACTGAAAAATCCTATATCCAAGCGACGCTTCGTCTTCCCCGCCATTTTCCCCATTCCCTGCTACAGTGCAAAGCTGCGCCGGCGAACTAGGGTTCACGACTCCGGCCAAATCCACCTCCGAAAAGTGCATTAAAATCCTTCCCGTGATCCACCGCCTCAATCCCTCACCTCTCCCAAGCCATCCCTCGAATCAAATCAGCACATTTGAGTGAAACCGATGGCGGAAGAGAGAGAAAGCTTCGAAGGCCAATGGGCGTCATCCGATGTAACGGAGGAGAATCTTAAGGAGATGGTGGCGCACGGCGTTCTCCCTGCCAAGGAGATCATCGGGTGGCGACCAGCGCACGGTGAGGCTTTCCCGTCTCCGGATACTCATGAGATTGTGGTCTTCTCGCATTTCTTCTACGGCGGCTTTGCTCTTCCGACCTCAAAATTTTTCCGCGGGATCTTGAATTTCTATGGAATCAGCTTGCATCACCTAAACCCGAATTCCATAGTGCATATCGCCAATTTCGTCCATGCTTGTGAAGCCTTTTTGGGGATCAAACCTCACTTTGCCCTATTCCGCCGAATCTTCTTCCTCAAGCCCCAACCAAACAAGAACAAACCGTGTGTAGTCGGGGGGGCAGGATTCCAACTAAGGGGAACTCTGAGCCAAAAATATTTCTCAATGCCCTTCAAGACTTCGAACAAAGGATGGCATGCAAACTGGTTCTATGTTCAGAATCCTGAACCTGCTCTTCCCGGGTACTCTTGTCTTCCTCCAGTGTATCAAGATACTTGGAACTCTCTTCCAATCGGAGATGAAGCAGTACAAGCCTTGGAGTTGTTGGATCGTATGTTAAATCTTAAAGAACAAGGCTTACAGGGAGAACAGATCACTCGGCATTTCATCAAATGCCGACTAGCGCCAATCAAGGAAAGATCTCGCACGGCATTCGAGTTCGACGGCAAGTATGATCCTAACCGTGAAGAATCAGACTCTCTGGATTTCAGAATCATGAAGGAGAGGATGTATAAAATCTTCTCAAATGCAATCGTCGTCAGCTACTCACACCAGCTGCCAGTCGTGCCATATAATGCATTCAATCCGCCTCCGCAGGTATGTATCGGAAATCTTCAAACCATGATCAGAACATAATTTTGTCTTCATGCTGAATTGACTAACTATGGAAGCATCTTGTTCAGGAATATGCACTGATGAAATCAGATCCACCAGTCACTCAGCGCCGGTCTCCTCGCCAACACACTGCTCAGGGAGGTGGAGGGCCAACGATCAGACCAGATCCGCAACCTCAGACCTCCAAATCAACTGGTCAGACGGGTCCTCGCAAGAGGAAACTGGTGCTTGATGACGATGAAGGCGACGATGATAAATCTGGGGATAAGGGCTCGCCTAATAAACCCCCAAAGCGCACCATGCCCAGGAAAAAACTGGCCGGCCGCGCAATGCTAAAAATTAGAACATCTTCCAGGTATAAGACCTCTCGGTATGATTTCACTTTGGTAAGCTCTCTCATGAAAATGATGCTAAATTCTGAAAGAATACTTTGCAGGAAACCATCTGATATAGATCCATCTGGAAAAGACCCCGATCCAGCCATGGCAGAGCAAAATATATCCAAAGACCCCGAGCCAACTGCCGAAAGCCAGCCGACTGCCAAAAGCCAGCCGACCGGCGCCCATGCTTCGGGTGACCAGGCCAATCCGAGTGACCAGCCGCCGACTGGAAACCAGTCGGCAACAACTGAAGCAGCAACAACTCAAGAGCCCCCGACTGGAAACCAGTTGGACGCAAGCCCTGATCAAGAAATCCCTGAAGTAGAAGCGCAGACGACAGCTTCCCAAGGGCCAGAAGCTGGTAATGACTCGATAACTGGATCTCCAGGCAAAGAACAAAGATCACCTCACGCTCAGCTAGGTACATCTTCAGGTTAGTTGTCTTCTCATACAACGGTGATTTAAATAACCTCAGTGTATCCGTCTAATGTCCTGGAAACACATCAGGACCATCAGGTGATGACGGAGAAGAAATCCCTCGCATAAAGGCGACCGACGACTCTCGTCCTCCTATCTTGATCAAATGGTGGGACGAGAACTCACAAGCCGCCGGTATAGTCATAAACCGTCAAAAAGAAGATGAAGAAGTGTGCCAGCTGAAGAAAGCGCTTGGAGAGGCCACTCGTATTGTAAATGTAAGTCTTCCGAGCGACAGCCTTCGGTAACTTTGTTTTTCTTTTTAGCAGAACTGAACTATGATCCATCATGCAGAGAATCCATCTTCGCAATGAAGCCAAGACCACAACTTTGGAAAAGCTGGTTCCTCATTTGGGAACTCTTGAAGCGGTTAGGGACCAGCTACATGAGGCCAAGGAGCACGCCAAGAAGACGGAGAAGGAGTTAAGGGATCGAATCGCTCAGCTCCAGGATGCAAACTTCGAACTAAGTGGTTCATCAAAAGGTAATCATCCAGATCTGTTCCATTGATTTAGGCCAACATAACTGTATCCTCAACCATCTGGATCTCAAACAGCGCAAGCCGCCAGAATGGAACAAATGAAAAAGCAAGTTGAAGCCCTGGAGAGAGACAATGTAGAACTGGCTGCGCAGAGGGACTCGGCCTTGAAGGAAGTTGAAGGTACTGCCAGCTATTGGCCTGAACTTGTCTCTTTTTAATGCAGCAGATTCTCACCATAAATATGTTTTGTAGACCGCAAGATCAAGTCTCAAGCTCAATTCGACGTCCTGGTTGGTAAGATCAAGAGGCTAGAAGGAGCAAGAGATGATGTCGCCAATGCTGCTGCTCCAATCATCTAAGCCATGTTCCTCAATAATGGTGGTCCGAGTGCACTCGACGCAACCGAAATATTTGACAAGCTGAGTGTTGCTCCGGAAGTGTATTTCAAGAATATCAAGAAAGCTGGAAGTATGGGAGCTGGCATGGCCTTGGCGATGACAAAATCCTTGTACCCGAGAATTGAAGTCGACACCATTGATGGATTTGCAGACGGGACAAGTGAAGAAGCTGCCCTTGATCTTATCAGTAGTGCGCAAACTGCGGCTGACAAAATAGCGAGTGATGTTGTGGAGCAATTTCGCAACAACGACCTCCAGCCGAGTAATGATGACTCTGATGATGAAAGGACTGACTCTGACTGAGTTTGGATGTAATACATGGAGGCTCAATTTGTACAATACTGGTGTATTTATGCTGTGCTTGATGATTCTTGCAAAGTTTTTGATTTCTTAAAAGTTTTTGCTAAGCTTTGTTGAGCCTAAAACCCAAAGAAGCTATTAAAAACTTTCAGTCCTCTCAAACTAAGTAGAAAAACCAAACAAGGCAATGATAAACCAAGTAAGCAAACTGAATTGATAAAAAATCACACTCCATTATTGTGATAATAGCCCCCGACTGACAACGGCAAGAAGAAAACTTGATGTTGACAGTCAAAATAGGGAGATACAATGATAAAGTTAAGCGTAGAAACGACGAAGATGTTCAATGTTCCAAGAGTTGTCGACGAGAGTGCCGTCTTCGCGCTTGAGTCGATATGAACCTGGTCGGGTAACTTCAGAGATAATAAATGGCCCTTCCCATAGAGGAGATAACTTGTGCCGATCCGGCGAGTGATGGTAGCCTCGAGCTGCTCGGCGCTGTATGATTGTGTCGCGAAGATCGATGGGGCGGCGACGAGGTGGTGAGCGAGGCCGTTCCACTCGGCGCTCCCTATGAAGTTCGGGAGGCGAGTGAACAGACCGCTCGTCGTGGCCCCTGCTCCTGCGATTGGATCCTGCTCCAGTGATGCTGGGGCTTGGATGACGGTAGTCATGAGATCGGAAGTGGGGGACCCGGCTGCCAGTCGGCGTGTGGACGCTTTCGGAGTTAACTGGGACCGATGCTGCGATCATGGTCTTCGTCTGGTTCAAGATGTTGACGACGTGGTCGGAACGATTGAGCTCGTTTTGGTTGAGGAGGGTGTCGAGAAGGGTGATCGCGGCAACCGCATTCTGTTGAGGGGTGCGGAAAACCGGTGTCCCTTCGACATCTTGTTGGCCGATGAGATCACGCGCTCGGCGCCCTGCTTCCAAAGCTCGCTGACGTCGATCTTCAGCCTCCTTGGCGATCCGCTCACGGTCCTGCTGCTCACGCCGTAGCCGTTCTTGTTCTTGTACTTGATGCTCCTCCTCCAGTCGGCGACGTTCTTCAGTCTCCCGGGCTTGGCGTTGCTCCTCCGTCTCATTATTGGCCATGAAAACGCCAAAGTAGAGAGGGGTGTAATTGTCATCTAGGCTTCCGTCGAAGTCGTCGAAGTCGTCGTAGCGAGAACTGAATTCGTCGTACTCCACGATGTCAGTAGGACGTGAGTCGACGGTGGGAGAGCTGTTGTAGTCATCCAGCTGATCCGTCGAAACCGTGCCGAGTGGTTGGAGGATGACGCCGACTTCCCTGAAGCTAGGCGAAAGCGGTGTTGAAGCCGACTTCCGCCTAGGCCTACGGGATGAAGACGCTGTCATGGTGAAGACGGCCGCTAAATCGTCGGGGAGCTTCATCAGGACCGGTGGGTAAGCCCCATCATCTTGATCTGGTGTCGTTGTAGAAGATGCGATCTCGGCCGAGTGGTTTGAAGCCGACTCGGTTGAGATGGTCTTGAAGTAGCTTTCAGCCGCGTTCGGGAATCCAAACGGGACCGAAAGCCGGTTCTCTCCCGACTGGTCTGATTCCGAGTCGAGGAGAGAAATCTTGCCGAAGTTGTTGGTGATGAAGTCGAGGCTGCCGAACCGAAACGTCTGCCCGGGTGGGAAGACGAGGTCGTCGATGCCGGAGACGGAACCCATTGCACTGATCGGCGAAAAGCTTGACGCTCCCCCTACCTGGCGCGCCAACTGTCGAAACTAGATTTCGGCAATAATAAAAGGGGGTGGCTATCAAGCTCGGAAAGTGTATGGGTTTGGAGACAAAGGATTTATACAGGTTCAGGCCTTCTTATAAAAGAAGTAATACCCTACTCCTGTCCGGGGATGAATCCGCCGAGTGTATTATTAATTGTATGATTCGGGAAAAATCAGCATATGCCCCTAGAGGTGCCCGGACCCCCCTTATATATGGGAAGGAGTCCGGATTACAAAAGATAATCTATATTCCTAACGGAATATGAAGATAGAGGTAAAATACAGTCGTAACCGACTAAGTCTCAGGGTGTTTCCTTGATACACAAGTTAAGAAACAAACCCGAGATACAGATAAGATATTCTATCTACATTAAGTATCCGGTACCCAGTTCGAATACCGTCGCCGTGTAGATATGGGATACCCATAATCTCCACACTAACCTATGCCTATATCTTTTTTATTAACGTAAAAACTCAGTCGGAATGTTTTATTACTATAGGGCTTGTTCGGTGCGCCACAGCCATCTGCTACAGGAACCCAACTAGCATTTCTTCTGTTCGTCTGTGCAGCGCAGCCGCATGCAGCAAACAGCCAGTCATTATACCAACATTATTAATCTTTTTTAAAAAGGATTTCATGACTCAATTGTGCGTATTTTTAAGAAAATGAATAGTGTCCCTTAAATGTGAAAACACTTTCCGGAAAAGTGATCTCGAGCTCTTTCTTCGACTTGTCTAGCCGCTTGTTAGGTCGTCGATCGTGTGTGCGGCAATGCCTACCGTGCAACGATCTCATGTTCGTGCGTGGCTAGTGGCTACTGTTCCCAAATTAATTAACGCGCTAATCGAATTAACACCCTCCCAATGGTCGTTCCTGCAGTGAACATGTGGGACCAGCACGAACCCATGCAAAAAAAACTTAATATGGTGTGTGTTCTCTTAAACCATACGAGTAATAATATAGCTGGTGACCTCTGGTGTGTACAACTTTAACTTTTTTGAGCTGAACCATTGAACGGATCAAGAACTAATTAAATACTCCCTCCGTACTACTAAAGAAAGTCGTTTTAGATAGCGACACGGTCTTCAAAACATAACTTTAACTTTTAACTTCTTGTTTCTATAGAAATATTTATTAAAAAGTGATATATGTATACTTTTATGAAGGTATTTTTCAAGACAAATCTATTCATATAATTTTAACATTTTCAAACTCAACAACTTGAGAGTTATTTATGATTTATATTTTTAAAGTTTAACTTAAACATTGTCCTAAACGACTTCCTTTACCAGTATGGAGGGAGTATTTAATTAGTTCTTGATCCGTTCAATGGTTCAGCTCAAGCGCACTGTTCAGTAACAGTACATGGATACATCGACCACACATGAACTGCAGCTTGGCGCGCGCCACGTGCGTGACACGAACTCTCTAACTTCCATCCAAGATCAATGCAAGTCAGCTAGCAGCTAGTATAGTGTTGTGTTCGCGGATTTTAAATAAGATTTCGATTCTCTGATGACGAATGCACGGACACGATCGATTGATCGGTCGATTTTCACGCAGCAATTAGCCCTCGCGCCACGGTGGCCGCCGCGGCGGCGCCGGTGGCCGGGGACCTCGTGCTGGTGACGAGCTTGAACCACTGGGTCTCTGGGTCGCACTCGCCGGCGGCGGCGTCGTCGAGGCACCTGCACGGGTTCGTCACCACGCTCCGGCCGTCGTCGCCGACGTCCAGGCACAGCAGCCCGCCGCCGCCGTCCCGAGATGGCGTCGTCGTCGTCGTCGCGTTGACGGCCACGTGCATCGTCGAGCCCGACACGAGGCGCCACGTCGACAGGGCGTCGCCGCGGCAGCCGCCGGCGTCGCTGGTGGCGAGCCGCGCCGGCCGGCCGCTCCCCTCGGCTCTCAGGCAGAGCGGCGGCGAGCCCCGCCCCGCGCCCCGCATCGCCAGCGTCGACGCCGGCTGCGTGTAGGCCCACGCGTCCGTGTCCTCGCACCGGCCCAGCTCCAGCGTCGCCGCCGCCGCCGCCGCGTCATCCGCCGCGCGCCTCACCACGCAGCGCCCCGTCAGCGGGTGGAACAGCACGGTGTACGGCCTCGCCTCGTCGTAGCCAGGCCCTGCACGCATCGCATCGCCGGCGAACCCTTCGGTCAATTAGAAACGTTGCACCGGCGATGATGGCGCGAGCGAGCGACGCCGTTGACAGCGAACTGACCTCGGAGCGGGCGCTGCAGCGACTGGATCCTCGAGAGCGCGGTCGCGTTGCGGGGCTTGCTCCACGACCAGTCGAGGACGCCGTACACCTCGTCGGCCCCGGCGACGCCCTGCCGCAGCGCGTAGCTCCCCTGCAGCGCCCAGAGCGCCCAGTCGAGGTCGAGCTCGGCGGCGACGGCGGCGGCGCAGGGGAGGTACCGGTCGTCCTTGCGCGAGCCGCCGCGTGTGTCGGCGCCGAACTCGCTGAGGAAGAGCGGGAACCCGGCGTCGAGCAGGAACCCGCCCCGCCGCGCGACGCCCCGCGCCACGCGGCCGCACACCTCGTTGGCGTCCTCGGACTCCCAGGCGCGCGCGTCGGCGAAGCTGTACCAGTGCAGCTCGAACACCAGCTTCCCCCGCTCCGCCGCCGCGAAGCTCACGTCCACGGGCCTCGCGGCGAGGAACGACAGGTCGGTGTCGTACCCGAGCCCGCCCATGATCACCAGCGCCGCCGGGTTCGCCGCGTGCACCGCCTCCGCCCCCATCTGCATGTACCTGTACCAGTCGTCGGCGTTCTGCCTCGGCCCACGCAGCTCGTTGCGGAGGCTCATGCCGACGACGTTGGGGACGCCGGCGAACAGCGCGGCCATGGCGCCGAGCCCGCGCACCCAGGCGTCGGGGTCGAAGTGCCGGTCGCCGAAGAAGCCATTGCCGTCGTCGTCGGCGCAGCACCAGCCGGGCCGGCTCACGTGGTTGTCCAGGATCACCATGACGCCGCTCTCCCCGAGGCTGTCGACCACGGCCCTGAACGACTCGATCAGCGTGAGGTCGAGGAGCCCGGGGTTGTTGGCCTCGACGCCGGCGACCGCGCCGGCGAGGCCGTGGGCGAGGAGCGAGCGCCGCACGGTGAGCGACGACAGCGACGCGTTGGTGGCCAGCGCGATGGGGTACGTCAGCCTGACGCAGTTGAACCCGAGCGACGCCACCTTCTTGGAGATGGCGTCCACGGGCTGCATCCCGAGCCCCTCCGTCACCACCGGCTCCAGGTGCGACGGCCAGTTGACGCACGCCAGCTTCACCCGCCGCCCGCCGGCCTCGTCGTCCACGATCCACCGCGACGACGTCGACAGCGTCACGGCCTCCACCGCCGCCGCGTGCAGGCCGGCGAAGGCGAAAAGCACGAGGCACAGAGCGACGCGGCGGCGCATCGTGACGGCCGGACCGATGGCCGGGATAGAAATGCAGTGAGGCGAGCGCGCGCCGTACGTGCGTGCGTGCTCCTGCTCCGTGTCCGGCCGCGGTAAAAGAAGAACGACGAGGAGGTTTGGTGGCGAGTTAGGATCCCGGGTAGATTGGAGTTCACCCCGGGCGCGCCGAGAGAAGTTTGGTGACATGTTGGAGTAGTACTGTACGATATTACTGGTGTTGGTTAACTATACTTCTTGCGCCTTACGCCGTGATAAGTTGCAAAAAAAAATTTCAAACTTTCAACTTTTCAATCACATTAAAACTTTCCTACACACAAACTTTCAACTTTTCCATCACATCGTTCTAATTTTAACCAAACTTTCAATTTTGATGTTAACTAAACATACAATAATTTTTCTTCTGTCAGTCTGGGAGCATGCACTTTGCGAGACGGATGTTCGGAACTTCGGATGCAGTGGCTAATCGATCTCCGAGACTTGTTGATTAACCATGTTACGTAACATTATTATTTTTCTCTTCAGTTTTGTTATCTCTGAAAAATAATTTTTCTTTCGTTTTATTTGTTGGGATAATATATAATTATGTGTTTTTAAACAAAATTTAAGTTGTTTTGCTTCTTGTAATAACATGATCAATTGATCATATGAATGGGTTGTTAAGATTGATGCCATTTCAAATCATACCATTTTTTTTGGTAAAGTTGTTAAATATGTGCATCAATTTAATTTTTACCAAACTCTGATAAATACATAAGATATCATATCAAAATTTGGCAATATTGCCAAATTGAAAAAAAATTGGTAAGGTTTATTTTGGCTACAATCTGAATAGGCCCGAAATGTTTCTTTAATGGGACATCCAAGTCCGATCATACATTTAGGAATAAGTCTATTTTCACCTCACTCATCCCTTGCTGTTGGTCAAATGACATCCTTAAACCACAAAACAGGATATAACACCTCCCCCAACTTCAAAAACCAGTTTTTCATTCCGTCGGTGGTTTTGAAAGCGGTTCTTGCTGATGTAGCAATTTGGCTTGGTTAAGGTGGTATCTCAGTCATTAAAAGAATTAAAAATATAAATGGGTCTCACATGTAAGTGGTAAGGATGAAAATAAACAAAAACAGGGGAAGGGGTAGTTGTCAGCCCCACTCCTCCTTCTTCAATCTGTACACACCGCAAGCCACACCGCCGCACTTTGACGTGTCATAGTGCGGCTTGAAGCACATACAAATTGAAGAAGGGAGGAATGGAGCTGACAATTGGGTCCCAAATTTTTTTATTTTCATTCTTATCACTTACATATAGGACAAATTTCTATTTTCAATTGTTTTGATGACCGGGCTACCACGTCAGCATACCTAAACCAAAGTCAAATTGCCATGTCAGCAAAAGCCGCTTCCAAAACCATCTAAGGAGTCAATCTAAACCCGTTTTTGAAGTTGGAATGTTAGACTCGGTTTTACGGTTAAGGGATGCGATGCGACCAAGGGCAAAAAGAAAAAGAAAAAGAAAAAGAAGAGAGAGAGAGAGAGAGAGGTGAAACAGACTTATTCTGACATTTTAAGCTCAGGTTGGCCCAGCCTTGGCGTCATCTTCGTCTTCCCCAGCCCGCCAGATTGGCCCAGCCATGGCCTAGACGGCTGCCTCCCCGTCCCATTCCGGCGTCGATCTGCTCCGCTGTCTATCCGCGCCGCCGACCTCCTCGCATCGCCGATCCAAGTCGGTCCACCGAATCGAATTTCTACCGTTTTTCTTTGCTTTTCGGTTTCGTTCTCCGTTTTGGTTTTTTATCGTAGTTCCGTTCTGGGGTTTTATTTCGAATTGCCGTTTGCTCTCAGAAAACCGTACTTCCAAAATAAGCAAGCGAAACCTCCGGAACCAGTGTTCGGCCCAAGGCCCATCTCTCCTCTACGTCCGGCGGCGGCGCATCCCGGCCTCGCGCTCCGGCGGCGGCGGCCAGTCTGAGGCGGAGCGGCACCGCGGCACGGGAGGGCAGGGCGCAGCGGCGACGGCGAGGAAGCCAACCGGGCGCGGCAGCAAGGGAGACCGCGTCTTGTCTGCACGGCTCCATTAGCGGCTGGAGGTGGGACTGGAGCCGGGAGACCCAACTAGCGTCCACCGCCTCTCCGCCACCGCCGCCGCCGCCTCCCGCAACTTAGGGGGTTTTGCTGCGCCGGCGCGGCTCCAATCCGCTCCGGGGCGGACCTCGCCGGTCGACGGCCGCCATGTGAGCCCCCCATCGCCGTTTCCGCTCGTCACCGCTTGGTGTTCGTTAATGGCAGGCAGGCTGATCTCTACGTCTTCCTCCTCCTCCTCGCAGGGGCTTCGCGCGCGTGGAGCTGCGGTGCCCTAGGGCCCTCGACCCCCGCCCGAGCTGGACCCTCGGCGACGTCCTCACCGAGCTCGACGCGCTCGAGGCCACTCGCCGCACCGCGCAGCCCACGCCCCTCAAGCAGCCGCCGGAGTGGTATCTCTATTCTCCAATCCCTTGCGCTCCCTTGCTTATGGTTTCGCCGATAAGCTGCAATCGTTTCCCTCTACATTGCTTCTATATGATTTTTTTTTGGTTCATTTAGGGCTAGCAGTGGCAGCGTGAGGGAGAAGGCCTTTGTGATGCGGGTTGAAGAGGAAGATGACACGGATGAGGACGATTACGACAGTGATGGGGAGTCCCGGGCTCTTGTGGCCAAGGCCACTGGAGCAAGGTTCTCATGCAATGATCTTGAATCCAGGTGAAGATTTGATGCTGAAATTTGGCCACTGCAATTGCAATTTATTTGCTTTGAAGTACGGTACATTATCTGCAATTAAGTTTAAATGAATGGCGTATTGTGTGAGATATCCCCTTCTTTTGTTTTCTTCCTAGTGATGCTGAAGAATCAGAGGATGAAATGGATGGCAGGATTGCACCATATCACCTGATGGAGAAACGGAGCCTAGAGAAGAGCATTCTGCTTGAGCTGGAACGTGAGCATCATCTGAAAGTTCAAGTGTGTATTCATCAATCTATACTGTTATATCTTTCTTACTGAATGCAGTACTTATGGGCTGATTTTTCTTTGATGTGTTGGCAATAGACCATTGAATTATTTTCATTACCATTAATCCTCATTCTAGTTTAGGGTTACCATGGCATTAGGTTACACTTTACGGATCAACTTTATATCTTTTTCCTCACCTTTATGTAGGTATTTTAAGCTATCCAGGCATGTGGATGCTTCCATTATCTTTCATCTTTCTAAGGTTATACTGTATATGAATTCCTGAATGAAGCTTTTGTTTGTTCCCTTTAAGGTTAGTGTAGTGCCACACTGATATGGTTGGATAATGACATGATGAAATTTCAAGAAAAACAATACATCACTTCTGTTAGTTGCTACTTGAAGAAGATTTTTCAAATACAATACTGCATTTACTTCAAATTGGATATTGTGATCCAAGAAGTTTAACATAGAAAGCCAACAGGGATGTCATATGACTAAATTTCTAAGTATTGGGTATCATAGTACTAATTATCTTTTTGGCTGATGTTGCATGCCTTTATTTTTTACCATGATGGATTTATTAAATCTGCTGAATCCTTTTTGTTCATTTTCTTCATATGATTTTTTTTCTTCAGGAGGAAGTCAGAAGTAAACTATCTGCATTGGAGGTATGCCACCAAAGTGAAATCCAGCGAACAGTTTCTGCATTTGCTCGACTACAGAAATACGCAGAATCAAGAAAAGAGATAGACAGAAGGCTAGATGTCCACTTCCAGAGAAAAATGTATGTTTTTGTTGTTGAATTGTTTCTCCTGTGTCTTTTTAAATCTACATTTCATGATTACTGTTGATTTTTCAAATTTTGAGGAAACTGTATGTTTTACAAGGTCTTTGGTGATGCAATTTTCTGGGACTAGGGTTAACTTCTGTACTAGTTTGTTCTCTTTTGTTACTGGAGGATTTTCTGTGGCACATATCAAGATATTCTTGTACTAGTTTGTCAAGACTGAATTTTTATTGGTGGTTGCTTTGTAAAGTTATGCCATTTTTATTTGTCATAACTCAATTTATTTTATTGTAAAGAGGGCTTACAAAGTGCTAAGTTTTTCATTCCAATATAGTTTATTACTCCTGAGTGGAAAAGGTATATATTCATGAAGGCTGACGGACCTTGCTAGTAGCTACACAGTTTATCATGGATTATTTCTAGTGCACATAGTTTTGAAGAGAAAACAATCATCTCCTATATGCACAAATTCCAATATAAAGGTTTATTGGGTGATTGTGGACTAATACTAAGATCCTTAATGTTTCCTCCACCATTTGCTATTATCCTCATCGTTATTTGGTTAAATTTGCTACTTAAATGATCAATGAGAAATTCCAAGCCCAAGGTTTCAGCTCTTTACATTTTGCAGCAATTTATATATTCTATTCACAACTGATTAAATCGTGTGGGTTTAACGTACAAATATTCCATACTTATACCTGTGGTGTTTGGTCAAATGATTAGCGACTGAGACTAAGGGTTGACTATTTTTTAAATGCTCTATTTGTGTTATATAAGGAATTAACTATCTGTGACACAATTATATAGTTTTTGTACTTCTTTGTGTAGTAACTTTATGTTCCAGTTCAATCATTAGCACTGTAAATATTTTTTCAGAAACTTTGCATGTTAGCGTTTGTATTTGTTTTCCTTTGTAGTAGTTCTCACAGGATAAAGGACATATACTCTGATGATCTTTCGTTATAAGTTATACTTGGATTTTCTGATGATCTTTTGTTGGATTCTGTACCTTGTTATAATTGTTGCCTTTTTGCAGTGCAGAAGTACTTGATAAACATTTGTCTATGGTCCAAAGGGATCATGAACAGAAATCGCAAATTGTGGAACGTAGAATAAGAGATGATGCTGCTCTTGAAGAAGCTAAAAGAAAGGAGCAAGCCATGAAGGACGAAAAAATAAGGCAGGAAAGAGCCAAACAAGAAGCAGAGGTTTGTTTGCCTAGATGTGCTGGTCACTTGGTGTGTTTTTGTTAACATAAACTGATATATTTCTTTTGATATATGTCAATATGTGAGACTTAATTCATTGTTATTTCTTTTGGCTCTGGTATTTATCATAATACTTAGTCCATTGAGTTCCATCTAGTTCAGTTATATCTAATACCTTGTTATTCATGTTACTTCTTCACTGAACTTCTTTACAACCTACGTAGTTCAGAAACCTAATTTTCTTTACTTCACTGGTAGTCGCTTAAATGCATAACCAGTTTACCAGAAATTTCATGAACTATGATGCAGGCCAGACAGAAGGCAGCTGCAAAGTTAGCAGTGGAAGCACAGAAAGCAGCAGCTGAGGCTGCTGCAAAGGAAGCAGCAGAAGCTCAGAAAGCAGCAGCTGAGGTTTCCAAATCCAGCCAAAATTCTCAGAACAACGTTGCAGGAACAATGAGGGCAAACAAGAGTGAAATTAAATCTGAATTACCAGGTATTTCTTGCTTTTACAGAACCATTATAAGTTTATATCGCAATGTTTTATGGAGCTATTCTGAAGATCTGCTGATTGATATGCTTAGTAGAATCAGGTTGTGTCTATATACATATTTCTTAAAAACTAGTTTTCATACTAAGTCAGGCAGCCATTATCACAGCTTAATGCTTATGAACATCAAATGGTGGATATTAATCTAAAACGTAAATTTAAGGATTAACCTTCTCATTTTTCTTGTATATTTACTTATTTAGACTGTGGGCTTAGGCTCATGAAGGGCCATATATATCATGTAAAAGTATTATAACATGTCAGAAGGATAATCACCCCTAACTGATCTTCAACTATGCAAAACCCATGTTCAGCCCCTAGAACTTTACCATGTTTCCTTAATTAGCACAAAGGTTGTGGTACTGAGACAACCTACTCCTAACAGCAATATTTGAAATATAATTAAAATCCATTGTAGTGGGATCCAGGAACCATGCAAAACTTGAAGGGATACACAGTTTCAACGCTTAAAAGCATACAGACATAAATAACACGAGGGAAAACTGTGGTTCTGCTTTCACATTCATGCGCTGCATCAGACATTCCATTTTTGTATCAAGAATAATTTCTAGCCTTGGTGTTAATTTCCTAACTACACTGGTCACTGGCTGACTATCGTAGCTTGATTTTATAAGGACTGTGATATTAATGTTGATTGCTCATTCATAACAGGGATCAAAGTCTTTGCTGATCATTCTGCACTGGAAGCAGAATTGCGGAGGCGTGCATTACTTGATCAAGTGCCAGCGAACATTCATTCCAGCAAGGTCTTCCAACTGCATTTGTACAATTTGCTGCAAATTTGTTGTTTTAACATTGATGATGAATGATGGTCACCCTGCTGGTTTCAGTTCTTTTGCCATATGGATGAGAATTGTGGTAAGCTTGTATTTGACTATTATTGTTTTTATTGTGCAGGAGTTCAGCAGATATGACCGACAAATTGCAAAATCTATTGGTAAACTTATGCCGACTACTGACAGTGTAAAGTGAGTATATATATAAAACATATTTTTAACTGCCTAGATCCGTATAGCTCAATGCACATAAGCACATTCAAATAAAAAAGATCTACATCTATTCTCCTTTTTCCATCATTTGACGCGTGATAAGAACTAATTGCCTTTTGGTCATATAGTTGTTTTTGAAGGGTTTTAAAGTGAGTATTTGATTTGAATATTTATTTAATTTGAAATCTACCCCTAAACATTTGTTGCAGAGCAAGGGCTGGTGAGCTTATTAAAGCTTTGGATGGACAGGATTGCCCACGTCCAATTGCTTGCCGTATATTTGCAAACAAGGTACTTTTATGTGGTAATGGCCTCTTTTTTCAAACGAGTAGCATCATAAATATGTGTGAAATGTCAAAAAGTCTGAGTTGAACGACATGACCATGCAATATTTTTATCCATATGTTCAATATAAGTACGAACATACTTGCTAATATAAACTTAGGCCCAAACACTTGCTTTATGAACTGACTTGTCGGTCAATAGTTGAAAGTCGAAACATGAACCATCAAATACCTGTTTTATAGTTTAGATAATTGGTATGTTAACTGCCTACATGATGACCTTACAATTTTTAGACACATTTTTTTAATAGAAAAAATGTGTCTAGAATATGTAAAGTAATAGCATCATGTCACCATTTAACATACCAATCATCTAAACTTCAGTTACATTTTTTTAGAAACATGGATTTACCACTTCACTTTTTGGCTTTGCATAGTCTCTCTATTGTAGTGTATACCTCTGCAGTACTGGTCTGTTGTTGCCAACATGAACTTAAGTGTGCTCACATAACTCTAACTAGAAATTTTTGGCCTTCTCATGTACTAGAATTAGAGTCCTACCGGGCTGTCCATTTTGACATACTGAATTCTACTTGATATTGTTGACTTACATAGCTGACCTGATATTGATTTGCAGATTATTTCAATCGTCAAGAGTAGAAATACAAAGGACAAAACATTTGGAAATTTGGCCTTTGCTTGTGGATATGTCATGCTTCTAGTCACCAGCCAGGTATGTTTGTGTTTTTTAGTTTTACTAGGCATTACTTTTGTTAATAAGTGCATATCGAATTGTGCTCACTTTCTGGACATTTACCGCACTCAGTTTTCTTTCTTATAGCTCTCTTCTGATATTTCAGAAGGCATATGTTGTGATCATGAATTCTTGATTGGTGGAAGTATATTGATACTTAAAATTAGTTTATAGTAGGAAAAGACTATTTCTTCCTTACATGACAGCTCATCCTTAATAAGTGGAATGGAAACCCACAGTAACTAATTTTCGTTATGTTTCATGTTAAGTTTAAAAGTTGAAGCTGCTTTTGACACCTCATTTAAACATGAAGTGGCATGCAATGATGAACTATTGCACTGTTCGTCATGGTTAGAGGAAGTGGATATTAAGTGTCCTTAAATTTGATGGCAATAAACAGTGGAAGGTTAATAATTATGGAGCATGGAAACTCACATGCTGTTTGCCAGTAGCTGGGATAGATACTCCAGTTGATTCCGATGAACATAGGGCTACTGTGTATCTTTTGTCATACACTGATCAACTTTTTTGCAGCCTAGTTTGCAACCACATAATGCACAATCTTGTGATTTTCTTATCATGGTTGGAACTCAAAACAAAATTCGTTGCTGCATGACCACTAAGACGATAGCTAGTTCCAATATTTCTGTACACTCCTATCCTGGCTTTGCTCTTTCAATGAAGTTTAATAATTTACTAACACAAATGCTCAGGTACCAGATGCAATGGATTATCTTCTAGCTGAGTTCCACAGAGTTTGCATGTACACAGTTCCAAAGCATCTGCATGCTTTAAACGTAAGTCTTCATGCCACTAAACTCCTCAATATCTTTGCAGCTTGTTTATATTCTTGCTTATATATGAGCAGCAATGGAAAAAACAAGTGAGGTGTTCTATTTAGGTGTTTTGAACAATTATAATGATGTTTTATTCACATAATTATTTTTGTGTTTAGCTCATGTATTTTTTTTCCTGATTTTACTTGTAATTGTTTAGGCACAAGTACGGAATAGAGATTATTACAGACTGATTGGCTACCAGGAAGAAAATGGACAACTCGAGAGCACTGAAAGTTATTTGACATATGTTGCCGCATACGTCAAGCTGTATGCTGCAATGATTCAGGTGTGTATGGCCTGTTTTCTAATATTACTAGTGTGGTAAAAATAGCTGTTAGGGTTATTAATTGTTAGAAATGGGTATGCATTTAATGGTTTTGAGTGTTTTGTTGGTTCCCTCTCTACTAATATGGTGCTTTCTTGTCTTGTTGGTTGTTGCAAAAAGGGCTTATTATTTCTCTTTAATTGCAATTTGTCAGTTTTTCTTTCCTGGGATATTATTTAGACATGGGCCACCACAGAGGTGACGAGCTCACAGAAAAACCATTACAACCAACGTGAAAGACAGTTTGCCAAAATGGCTCCAACTAGCACAGTGCATTGTGCATACGACTCTCAGTGATCAGATAACTCTTTTCAGTGCACTGACTCTGAGTGTAACATGTGTTGCTTTGCACATTAATTGAATTCACTATCACAGTTCCATAAGTTCATCCAGTGTTAATACCGTTTCATATGATCGTTTTATTTGAGCAGCAGACTTCTGTTCAACAAATTGATGTTTTATTTAGAATTGAAATACAACCGCAATTTTTTTCTACAGACCGAAATTAGGGGCGTGCGGCATCCACATGGCTTAGCTGAGGGGTGGAAATGGCTTGCCATGTTCCTTAATACTCTCCCGGCCACCACAGCAACTGCTTGTGCCCTTCATGCTTTCCTCAAGGTAAAAATATGCTTCAAGACCCCCATCCCCTCCTATGCGTGTGTGCTTGTAGCAGGTTTGTTGTAGCCAACTTGGATTCTGTTTCTGTTCAGGTTGCTGGTTTTGCACTTCACAAGAAATACGGATCACAGTTCATGAAACTTCTAGATGTAATATTGCGGTGCTTCTTACCCGCTTTGAAGGAACAAGGCTCACGAATTCAGGCTGAGGCTGCAAGTAATCTACAGAATTATCTGACTGACAAGGTTTACCTTGAGGAACCAGAAGGCCAGTACCTTGCGCAACAGCTTCTATCTAAAGAGTTGTTCACGTGAGGATCAGACACCAGATCAGCATGGCGATGTGGCACTGCACACTGGCCAAGTTTGTCACCGCGGTTAGCAATGGCTGTTGCCAGATAATGCTCTATGTGTGCAGCAAGACATTTCATACTGTCCAAATGGAGCAACCTGCACGGTTATATGATGGCAGAGAAGGCCAGAATCGCCCTGAAGAAATGTCTTGGATTGCGCCCCCAAGGTCTCCCTTTTTAAGCCACCAATTTTAATGTATAAATGCCATGTACGAATACTATAGATTAGATGCGATGCAATTTGTTGTACGCCTGTATTGAGGGCGAGCCTGTAATTTATTCGAAGTAAATGTTACTCTGGACATGTGCTGTCTTATATAATCTGTTGTACGCTTGTTGCCAAACTAGTAATCTCTCTTGTGGGAACAATGAAGTCTTCGTAGATTACTGGCGTAAGGCAATAGTGTAACACCATATCCTGCTTTTGCATATTTGCTGAGTACTTGTGGATTGTGTAACTATGTTCGCGGTCGTTGTATTGTGTTGTCATGCAGTGAGCCAGTGAGCCAGTGATGCAGGTTCTTCAGGCTCCTCTCTGACCCCAGGGCCCCACATGACTGCATTTGCACTCCCCTGATCCAATCGCAAAGCTGGGAGCCTGGGAACTGGATGGCCATAAAGGCTAAGGCATCTCCCGAAGTGCTCTGAACACATATTTCTGCATGCCCAATCCTGGTCAGTGTATCCCCTCCATTAATTGTCGCCTTGCATACTTCGCCAGGTAAATGAGTTGGTTCCCTGTTCTAGTAGCGTTGTCTTGTTTCCAAGGACAACAATGCGATCAGATTGAAGCGAGATCGTGCGCATCTCTTTCGCACTACTCTATGAAGCAAGCAACATAAGATGTAAATTCATTTCTACAAAGAAACATTGTTTCAGCAACATCAGCATGAACAAGTATCATCAATTGTTTCGGCCCTAATCCAAGATTAATTGGAGTTAAATTTTGGGAGCCCCTACAATCTTGTAGATTTTAGATCATCGGGTTGCTTTAAGATTCGTGTAAATCCCTCCAAACCATAACCCTCCTGTTCTTTTTCTCTTCCCTCCATGGCATCACATGACATCAGCTCAACCATGCCTCCTCTGCACCAATGCGTCATTGCCCGACCCCATCGATTAGTATGAAGACGTCAATAGCGCCAACGAGGCCCCTTTGGCTGACCTTCTCCTCCTCCACCCCCTCCCCTCCCCTCTCTCCTCATCTTTTAATCCGTTGGTATGCGCCCTTGGTGGACCTCCCCTCCCCCCTCCCCCCAACTCATCTTTTAGTAGTTGGTAGTGAGGTGCACCAGCCTCACCGTTTTCCTCATCTTGAACGGCTCCCTGCAGTTGGATCCACCACCATCCACACCACGTCCTAACAACAAGCTCGCTTTAGCCCCGCCTCCAATGCTAGCTCACCACCCTTCTCCAGGTCGCCGTCTCTCACGGCTAGGGGTGGTAATGGGCCCACAAGTCCACGGATGGAGTATATACTCGCACTCCACTAGACTCTGTACTGCACCATAAAATAATGGTTTTGCACTTACCTATGATTTTGTATTGATTGTTGATTTTATTGCTTAAAGAAAGGCTAACGTCGTCGCTATACCTTGTGCTGCCACCGCCACCGCCTATTTCTCCATCGCCGCTAGCCGCCGAGCACCTTCAATGTCGATGTCTCGAGAGAAGACACAGTGTGCCGCGGTGGCCGACGGACGAGCGCACGACACCGCTGTGGTGAGCTGGCCGGGGTGACCTCGCAGCCTAGGCCTTGTGTTTGTTGGGCTATCGAGCCATTCACATGCTATTGGTTTATCAGCGTACCGAGCTGGCACAAGAATGGCCCATTTACCAGGCTGGGCCAGGCCAGGCCGCCCGTCGTGCCAAGATTCTAGACCCATTATGGGACGTGCCGGCCCAAGTACCAACTGTAGGCTTGATACATGATGACGGTGCTTAAAACTTAGAACGGAATCCCATTCAAACAGGATAGTACCAGTTAGAACTTAGAACTTACTCCCTCCGCCTCAAAATATAGCACCTAGGATGGGATGAGACCAATCCTAAGACAATGTATCTGGACATGAGGCATGTCTACATACATTGTCCTAGGATTTGTCTCATCCCATTTTAGATTGTTATATTCTAGGACGGAGGTAGTATGATACATAATCGGTATCAGCCGACAACTACTAGGTATCAGGTGATACTTACGAGGTATCATGTGATACTTATCAGGTATCAATCGATACCTAGTAGGTGTCGCCTGATATCAGTTAGGACATGATACAAATGGCAGCCGTCTCATAGCATTCCCATTTTAAAAAGGTAGCTTATTTTTGTGAAAAATAAACATTTATCACGTGTTCATTTTTTAAAAAAGGTCATTTTAGATTCACCTTTCGTATTTATACGTTGATCTATTTTGGGACTGAGAAAATACCACTACATCGCAATCTGGCTTAGCGCTGTCGAGGGTCCCACAAGTCTGGAGTTGCACCCCCATCATCCAATTGCAGGGCAGGGAACTGGATTGGGGGGATAAAGCTACGGCTAGAAGCTAAAAAAAACCTCCGTTCTGAAAGAACACGGCCATCTCACAGACATGGCCGCGCCACCGTCACCTCTCGGCCTCGCGCGCCGCGTATCCGGCGCCGGCGCCGCCACCCCGGCCGCGGCGTGGTCCTCTTCCTGCCGCTCCAGGCGCCTCCGCCCTCGTCTCCTTCCTTCAAAGGTGCGGCCATTTTCCTTTCTTGGCTTTCCTCCCCTTCTCCTTTGCTCTCATTTCCACTGAGCGGTGACTGCAACTGTGTGAGTGGTTTCTTGGGTGCAGAGGTGGAGTGGAGTGGTGAGGATGGGAGCGGCCGTGGGAGGGGAGCAGGAGGGCGAGGACGAGGAGGTGAAGCTGGCCAAGGAGATGGCCGCCGCCCGGAGGCGATGGGAGACTCTGGTGTGTCCCTTCACCTTACCCTAACCCTCCCTGCCTGCAAATTCTTCTTACGATTTCCCCCACATTTGGGTTTCAATTCAGTATCATCTTGCGTGATCTATGGCTATTGAAATGCTGATCTTCTGCTGTTCATGTGTGTGTGGGAATGATGCTCTGCCTGAAGATTAGGGAGCAGAAGATCAAGACTCTTACACCCAGGGAAGCTGGCTATACATTCAAGCTCACTGACAAGGTCCTCCTTGATGTTAGGCCCTCGAATGAGCGTCAAAAGGTTGTGTCTCGCTGCCTGTCAAGACTCTTAAAGTAAAGGGGTGTTTGATTATTGCGGAATGGGATTGTTTTTCGTTGTCCTTGATTGTATTTGAATTGGCGCATTTTAGGCCTGGGTGAAAGGCTCTACCTGGATTCCTGTATTTGATGTGGATACATCGTTTGATTTGGGTGGCGCCGGCAAGAAATTCACCAACTATGTGATGGGTATGCTAAACAGGGTCACCATATGCAAACCTGACTGTCAATCTCTTGTTCTTGAATGCTTTCTTTACAAACCTTGTTCTCATTGTTCATCATTAAACTAAGCACAGGAGATTGTAACATGGAATGTTTTCCATGTGTACACTCTAGAATGGATAATGCAATGATGATTTTCTCTGGGCTGTTTGACCAGTTTACATACGTCTTTTAGATTACCATCATACTAACCACAGTAGTAGTTCATGAAACACAATTACTTGAACCAAGGCATGTGTAGCTTTCTGTTTTATGTTAGTGTTCTATCCTCTGTGAGCCTGTGAATTTATTTTTCAACTCTTACATCACCCCTCCTACAATTCGGGACATCCAAATGATCGAACTCCCATGACTTCCCTAGGTGGCTGGTGGAGTGGCAGCTCAACAATGACAGTTAACAAGTACGCTCAACATCTACTGAATTTAGAACTTTCATCTGCTATTTTCAGAACAGTAAGATTGACTGATCGTAGATCAAATTGCTAGGAACTTTGTACAACAAGTTGAGGAGAAGTTTTCTAAAGATACAGATATCATAGTAGTTTGCCAGAAGGGACTGAGGTAATTCACTATCTTATCAATGCTGAATTTGATATGCATAATTGCATATCAATACTTTATCGCGTTGTTTACCTTTTGAGAAAGTCAATTCAGTAATGCATTCTTGTGTTGCCCTTCATGGATGTGTAATTTTATTAGTTGTGTTCACTTTTGCCCGTAATTCGGTCAGATCATTGGCCGCTTGTGAGCAACTCTATGGTGCTGGTTTCCAAAATTTATTCTGGGTACAAGGAGGACTGGAAGCAGCTGAAGAGGAGGTAGGAATTGGGAAAAGAAATAATTATTTCATATATGCTACTCCCTTCGTCCCCTAATATAAGGGATTTTGACATTTTGCTTGCATTGTTTGTCCATTTGTCTTATTCAAAAAAATTTGGATTATTATTTATTTTATTTGTGACTTACTTTATTATTCAAAGTACTTTAAGTACAACTTTTCGTTTTTTATATTTGCACAAAATTTTTAAATAAGACGAGTGGTCAAACAGTGCAAGCAAAATGTCAAAATCCCTTATATTAGGGGATGGAGGGAGTACTTCTTTTTACTGAATTATGGTTTATAATTTTACCCCTTCAGGACTTTGAGCGAGAAGGTCCCCAGCCTTTCAAGCTTGCTGGTATTGGTGGGGTTTCGGAATTTTTCGGGTAGGTTTCAAGACCCCAGCTATTCTCCCCTCCTAGTGGTTTATTATCCCTATTATTATCTGTCCAATCTACATACACAAGTCATGTATTAAAATCAAAGCAGTTGTTTGAGTACAAGAACAGAATAATGTGATAATGAGATAGGCAAGCTAGAACTCGCCAACAACTTAAAACTTCAGATTGTGTCTACACAGGCAGATGAGCATTATAATGGGATTTTCTTATTAGAAATATGTTTCAGACTTCCACAGAAGCATGCACTATCGCTCCTCCATACTCCAGAGCACTCCATCTGATTACAAATCTTTAAGCTTTGTGTACTGACAACGACTTCATTTCAGCTGGACGGATCAGCAACGAGCGCAGGCTGTGAAAGAAGGGCTGGGCTACCGTCTGATCTTCACAGGCCGTTTGGTAATTCTCTGAATTCAAGAGAGGCACACATCAATTCTTTTCTCCAATGGAAATGCTTTTATATGTTCCTTCCTGGAACAACAGGTTGGAGCACTCGTGCTTGTCGACGCATTATTTCTTGGCGCTCAAAGGATTGGCCCTCTGCTTCAAGAACTGCAATCTCGCTAACGAATATCGGTCTATGAGCAAACTGCTCTTGTGACGTCCAAGCTTTTCGAGCACCTCCGGCTGTGAGTTGTTGCGGCTCCGTAATGTAAGCCCATTGTACATGTATGGGGGAAAAATCAAGCTTTCCATGTTTTGAATTTATGGCTGTAGCCTGTAGGTTACTAGGTTTCATCTCGTTTGGGAGGTAGAATTTCCGTAGGAATCTCTTTCTTTCGTATACAATTTGGTCAAATTTATTGTTCCCAAACAGGCCTGGATCATTGCTATCAAGTTTCAAGGAAATTAATGGTAGTTCTTTACAAATGGTAGTTCCTAAAATATAGCATTTTTAGACCCTAACACGGTCTCTAATATGCTACTTTGACTAACAATATCTATAAAAGTAAGATGTTTTAAATAAAAAGAGTTACATATTATGATATTATGATAGTTTGTTTAATGATAAATCTAGTAACATCAATTTTACATGATTAATCTTTTTTATTTTTTTGCTATTAATGGTAAAAGTTAAAAATGTTTGACTTGTCACTATACTAAAAATGCTTATATTTTGAGACGGAGGGAGTAAATGATAATTGTAATTTTTAATAAGATAGGTGATCAAATGATAAGGAAGCAATACCCAAGAAAGATTAAATTCCAGGGCGAAGAACACAACTCCTAGTCAATGACAGCCAGCACAAGAATTTGCCCCAAACAAGGCCTAAAAACGTATCATTCCCTCAACAATCATGTCGACATTATATAATTAAGTATGATCTGTCCCGGTGTCGATCATTCTTCCTGACCTGCCACTCTCCTCCTATCACTCTCATAGTCTCATGACATCTAAACGCCAGTTGATAAGCCAAACGTCTTCTCTGTATTTTCACACTAATCGATAGAGGCAAGTCAAACAAAATGATGTTTCTTGTAACTCTTAACCGGTGTTAAGAGCCACATGACCCCACATGAAGTGTGTGTCCTCTTTTAATTATTAGTTATTTTTGTTTTTACCATGTCAATGCCGGCATGCTGTTGCTATCATGCCATCAAGCAACATTACCAGATACACCGAGGATGATCATATATATGACACTGGGTTTTGCAACAATTGAGTAGTACTCCTTGATGATAAATTTGACCCCATCTGCTGGGCGTTCTAAAAATGAGAAATTTGACCGTTTGCTCCTGGACTCTGCATACCCTAATACTCACCGTTGACTTTTTAACACATGTTTAACCGTTCGTCTTATTAAAAAAAATTGTAAAATATGTAAAACTATATGTGTACATGAAAGTATATTTAACAATGAATCAAATGATATAAAAAGAATAAATAATTACTTAAATTTTTTGAATAAGACGAATGATCAAACACGTACTGAAAAGTCAACGGTGTCAAACATTTTGAAACGGAGGGAGTAGTATTTCCTAGAGTGGATTTCGTAAAACTGCAAATTATCAGTTAGCTTATCAGTTAGCTGTAACTATAGCAGGACATCTAACAAAACTACAACGATTGTGAACAATTTTACCAAAACCCCACAACTTTAACTGGTATGAGTGTCTGACATGTGGACCCAACTTGCAACAGTATAAGTATTATATATTTATATGTATGTCTGACATATAGGCCAAAACCAATAAGACAAAAAAAAAGTTGCAGAAAATCATCAACTATTGTTCCATTCCACTTTGTAAGAAAACCAGGTGAAGTTGTCGCAAACTAGTAGTTTTAACGAAAATAGTTGTGCTTTTCCGAAATTTACTCGTTTTCCTATTAATAACATTTTCCCCTCTATTATTTAAATAGAAATATAGCTAGGGCTCATGTCTAACTGGTATATCATAAATTAATTGTTTTATAAGAACTAATAGCATACTTCCTACGTCTCCTAGTAAGTTCATTTTTAGCTCATTTTATTTGTATCAAAATAAGTTCATTTGTAGAATAATCATTGCATTGAAATTTGTGGAAGTACGAAATAATTGTATTGAGAGTAGATAAAGTGGAAATAGTTGTATTGAGATTTGATAAAGTATGAGTATTATAGTCTTTTTAGTTTTGAATTACTATGTGTGGAATAGGTGAAAAATAAACTTATTTTAAGATGAATAGCCGTTGGATCCGCTTGAGGTGCAGTGGCTAGTGTGGCCACAAGTTAAGCAGTCACACGAGCACCACCAGATTTAAAACACATGATTCAGAATTCCAGACGCATCTAAATACTGCAGCGATTTGCTCTGACAAATAGTAAAATTTTGATTTTTACTGTATCAATAGATTTGGACCATTGGATCAAGAAGGGCTCAAATTGTGTGGGCTCAAATTGTGTGCAGTTGCTATTGTGCAGTCATAGTGACAACTGCATTGGATCTCAATACATTATCGTTACCAACTAGCTGGGGTTAAACATTGGCTTTAATCAACTAGACCAACATATCAGATATGAGAGGAAATGTGTCCTAGGGCACTAGGGCATCTCACACGATTCCCCACCTCTCCCACCTCACTCCTACCTCACTCCTAGTCCTCTGCCGAAAGTACTTCCTCCGTTTCACAATGTAAGTCATTCTAATATTTTTCACATTCATATTGATGTTTGAATCTAGATTGATATATATGTTTAGATTCGTTAGCATCGATATGAATATGGGAAATGCTAGAATGACTTATATTGTGAAACAGAGTGAGTATCATGTAAAAGTTAGAAGGAAAAAAATAGAGCTGTTTGTGATGATATGGGTGTGGTTGTGTTGTGTGAGCCGATGTCCATTGTACTGTACTCATTTTAAATGTACGTACCGTTAACTTATATAGTTATATGCGTTTGATCATTTGTCAAAATTTAGTGAAACTTTAAAATTTATTATACTTAAAGTATATTTAATGATAAATTTAAAATAAAATAAACTTTCAGCTGTTATGTTCAAAATCAACATCGTCAGATATTTTAAATTAAAGGTAGTACTTTTAAAAAAAGGATTTTTGCGGTGTGTCGTGGCGAAACTGCTACCAAGTTTCAATGATCATATGCCATTTCATAGGATAATTACTCTCATCGTGGTAAGTAAGAATCGATTGCCTATTTTCGGCAGGCTGTTGTTTCAAAGCATCGATCTGCTTGGACAACTTGAGCAAAGCTAGCTAGAACTGGGTCGATATAATTGCAGCACTAGGCAATCAAGAGACGGAGCTGGCCACCAGCTAGCTGAGCTGAGCTGATATGATCAACACAGTGCAGACTTGGTCGTGTTCGAGTTCGATCGACGGATGGCTGTCCTGCTCTTGCGCTCATGCATGTCATCTCTTCGGAAGTAGGAGTACAGCAGTACTTGAGGAATATTATTAGAGAGTAAGTTGAACTGTTTTCAATAGTTCAGGGTGTAAACTAAGCTGAGGAATTGTTAGGAGGTTAAATGCTGTGGCAAAATAGTTTGGAGGAGCGAAATGATTTTTTTTTCATATGAAAAACATCTAAATTTATTTTTTGCCAAAACACTAGTATATCATCAAATTTTCATCCATTAAGAACGCCTTCTCAATATTAATAATTCCAATGTGATATCTTAATGCTCAATGAACCTAAAATAGTTTGGATGAGTGAAATGGACTCTTTTTGAGTTTTTTTCCATATGAAAACATCTAAATTTATTTTTTTTTGCCAAAACACTGGTATATCATCAAATTTTCCTCCATTAAGAACGCCTTCTCAACGTTAATAACTCCAATGTTATTATCTTAATGCCAAATGAACCTACCATGAACGTCATGCTCACAATTTAATTAACAACAACCGAGGCACTCAAGATCATTCGCGGTTGCCGCTTCTCACCGGTTGCCTGAACCCTTGGGACCCCTCCAAAAGCTTAATTACCCCCAAAACCGCATGATCTCTCTCTTCTCTTCTCTTCTCACACGTCGTCAAAGCCTCTGACTTTGGATATCCCCGACCCCACTAAACTTAATCAACTTGATCATTACAACAATTAAGTTGCCTCTTGAATCCAACGAAGTAGCTGGTCAACTCTCCGAGCTCGTAGCCTCGCTCTCCCGCCTATAAATTCACCGATCGATCGATCGATCGATCTCAGCATCAGCAGCAGCAGCAGATTCATTTCTTGGTCTTCGTCTCCGTCTCCGTCCTTGGGTTGATATCCAGAATCAGTCGGTTTGGTTTGTCAGCAATGGCGAGGCTAGCCGGCGTTGCTGCTCTCTCGTTGGTGCTCGTCTTGCTCGGCGCCGGCGTGCCCCGGCCGGCGGCCGCCGCCGCGGCGAAGACGCAGGTGTTCCTCTCCAAGCTGCCCAAAGCGCTCGTCGTCGGCGTCTCGCCCAAGCACGGTGAAGGTATATAACAACTAGTAGCTGATGATGATGACCTTCTTGCTTCTTTCTTACAAAAACCGTTTGACCATTCAGTTACTGATCGAGCAGTTAACATTTTGCCAAAAGTTATTTGGTTTGATTTTTTTTTTGAACTTGGCCGGTTTATCCAGCGGTTTCTAAATTCGAACCAGCTCGACAAGACCGACAACCAGGCAGTTTACTGTTGCATTTTGAAACCGTGTTTGAACCACCCAAGATTGCTCTTGATTAGCATGCAGCATTATGAACCGAAAATGCTCTTCATGGCTACCTAGCTAGCGATTATAAAAAAAAAGTATTTTTCGCCTAAAGTTTGATGTAAAATCAGCCTTAAGAATATGTTCCGATACCCATTTGCGCAACTGAAACTCCGAATGATGATTTGTCTGATTTGTCGCCTGTGATCGATGCATCCGAAAAGGGATGAACAGCAAGGGAGAAGAATATGTCCCTAAGAAACTCCTATCCTAGTGATAGCCAGGCCGGCCTATGCTATTCTTTTATTTTAAAGAATAATAATAATAAGATTTTTTTTTCTCATTTCAAGTTCACTTCATTTTCTCATGGCCGTACTACAAAATCTTTTTTTTTTGTTAGCTCACTTTCGTTTATCTTTTTCTTTTTTAAAAAAAATCATGATAAGTGCACGTTAGGCTTCGTTGAATTTGGCTGTTAAAATAATCAGATTAAAAGTGTCACATGTACTTTGGCTACTACTCTCTCCGTTTCATGTTATAAGACGTTTTGACTTCCGTCATAGTTAAACTGTTTCAAGTTTAACTAAATTTATAGACAAATATATGTTTAACTAAGTTTATAGATAAATATAGTAATATTTTTAATACTAAATTAGTTTCATCAAATCAATAATTGAATATATTTTTATAATAAATTTGTCTTGGGTTAAAAATTTTACTAATTTTTTCTATAAACTAAGTCAAACTTTTAACTTTGATCAAAGTTAAAACGTTTTATATCCTGAAACGAAAAGAGTACTACTATTACTAATCACTAATCAAGGGAAAATTATTCCGGTGGTGAGCAGTCGTGCACGCCGGCGAGAACACGGTGACGGTGACGTGGTCGCTGAACACGTCGGAGCCGGCGGGCGCCGACGCGGCGTTCAAGAGCGTGAAGGTGAAGCTGTGCTACGCGCCGGCGAGCCGGACGGACCGCGGGTGGCGCAAGGCCTCCGACGACCTGCACAAGGACAAGGCGTGCCAGTTCAAGGTCACCGTGCAGCCGTACGCCGCCGGCGCCGGCAGGTTCGACTACGTGGTGGCGCGCGACATCCCGACGGCGTCCTACTTCGTGCGCGCCTACGCGGTGGACGCGTCCGGCACGGAGGTGGCCTACGGGCAGAGCTCGCCGGACGCCGCCTTCGACGTCGCCGGGATCACCGGCATCCACGCCTCCCTCAAGGTCGCCGCCGGCGTCTTCTCCACCTTCTCCATCGCCGCGCTCGCCTTCTTCTTCGTCGTCGAGAAGCGCAAGAAGGACAAGTAGATCGTCTTGCTGCAAACGCAAGTTCGCAGCTTCAGTGGACTGAATTCCGTTATCGGAAAAAAAAAAGGAAATGCGTACTTTAGCTTGCTGTTATAAATGTATACAGTGATGTTCTCCTCGGATATAATTTTGTGTTTGTTTTTACCTTTTTTATAAAAATTATATGTACCTTTTGTTTCTTATTTTTGTTTGGTCACGTGCAACGAATATGAAAATAAATTGGTTGCTGTAACTCAAAGTTTGTCTTTTTTCTGGTATGGTGATGTACAGTATATTGGGCAGCATGTACATTGTGTGCACTTGGTCAGGTGAGCAGCGGATGCCAAAAGGAACAAGAAAGCTTCTAAAGTTATCTTTGCATTCAAATCCAAAATGAAAAACAAAAATTGATGAATTGGTCCCACTCCCAAACATAGCATCAAATCAAATGCATTCTTGCCAGAGAGCTTCCAATTACCAGGGGAATTATCTCGTTGGAGTGTTCAGTTTACAACTTTGCAGCAAACATGATAGGAAGCTAACTAATTGCCTAACATATATTTGCCATCTCATAGTCAACTTTGTAAACAGGTGTACGCTTCCTAATGTTTGTAATTTGTACTCCTTCCAGCGTAGTGAAAGGCCAAGAGGACTAAACATTATAGTTTTTCTGGGTACTTAATAGGGACAGCAATGAGCTAACCTCCCACTAAATTATTCAGCTTCACACGTAGTATGAGAAGGCAAAATAACAATGACAACCGCAACGGAAATTTTAACCCGATATTTTTTATATGTTCATACGGCACACACAAACAGCAGAACAAATCACAAGCACAGGCAGATGTGAACACTGGCCTAATAAAGAATTCCATGTAACAATGGATAGCAGCAATGCCTAAATGTGGAGGTTGAAACATAATTGTGCAAATAGCAAGAACAATAGTTAGTGTATTAAAGTTTGGTAACAAACTGTTTTGACATGGAAGAGAGGGGCAAAGGGGAATTAAGAGGAAAAATAAAAGGAAACAGAAGCATCACCATGGAGGTGACAATAGCTTGGGCCCTTGAGCGAGCCTGCGAGGTATTCCATTATCCCCTCCACTCTTCCAAGGCAAACAAAATGGGAGTCAAGCAGCAACAAGAACGCGACAACTTATTTGTTCATTGTTTAAAATAGGAAAAGAAGAAAAAAAAAGATCTGTCCGAGGATAGAAGTGCTCAAAAGGCCAAAACCATGGATGGCAGAAGAGTTCACCATCTCTGCCCTGTTAACGACCTGAAAAGCAGGTAGACAAAGAGTTCACATCTACCATCTGCTGAAAATTAATAAATGATCTAAACTTGACAGATATGTCTAGTAATACAGGACAAAGTTACTGTGATCAATGTTAATCGCGTTCAGTTGGATTTATGCTAATAAGCATCATGGACAGTAGGAACAAACAAACCTGTCTGTATTTCTGTTACCACCAAATGAGCCTCTGTCCCTGTTGCCCTGAAACCCCCACCTTTCTTCTGCTGGTTTAGGATTTTGGTCTATGCTGCTACGGGAACGTGGTTGTTCCATTGACTCTGTAATCTGTGATTCGTCTGGTGAATTACTTAAATGTGCAGTAACCTTGCCAGATCCAGAACCAGGTCTTTGCCCAAATCGAACCTTGTTGTCCAACTCAACTGTAAGACGCTCCAGTTCCCTTTCCATCTGGGATAACTTTTCTGATAAACCTTTTTTATCCTCGTCACTTATGTTTGCTTCAGTTTCTTTCAAATCCACCCTAAGCAGGTTAATCTGTTCTTTCAAATCCTTCTCTTCGTTTGTCTCCGGTCTGCAACATTCAAGTCCATGAACAAATGTTTAAAACAATAAAATTACACGAGTAAATTTCAGTAGGACCAGCGATTTTTAAAACATCAAAACTACACAATATAACTATTGAAATGTAAAATTGATTAATTTTGCAATTGGGCATGACCAGCAATTATTGATTGGTTATTGGAACGAGGGACGTAAATAGGTCCAAACCACAAGGCAAGGGCTAAAGCAATTGACTGTAGGAACCAGGAACTGAGCATAAAGACAGGAAGAAAATCATTCCCCAAAGGCCCAAACCATATGAAAGTTGAAACGACAAACTATAGGAACATGCATGCTTCAACGACCAGAATATTGGCATTGGTTAAAAAGAAAGGCAAACATGCATGAACAGTCAAAGTATTTGATAACCAGGAACCACCAGAATATTCTATTATCATGCTACAAATTTCCACAAAAAGAAAAGCTGGTTCAAAAAGTTTACCGATGATCTTGCTAGTCTTTCCTAGTAGTTACATATATCTGGTAGAGGTGATAAATTATCCTACATGATAGCATATTAGGACCAAAGACAGTTCAAGTATTGTTACAAATCAGGGCTTGGGTGGTTCAGAAATTACAATTTCAGTTCCACAGTAATCTCAGCACCTGGCAGGTAACAATTATTGGTCACACAGATCTGGAACATTTCGAAAGTAAATTTGAAAATTCGTGAAAAACACAACAAGGTAGAGATAATGCTGGAGGAATTAACATACACAAGAACATAGATGAAATTTATTTTATTTAACATATCTATTGACGGTCGATAGCTTTTCCATTGTACAGAGATTTCACTCAAGATTGTTGATGCATGACACAAACAGGTTAAAAACTGTCAGGCTTCTGACAAGTAACAACCATAACCATTCAAAGTGTCAAGCATGAGCAAGTGGGTGACCAATGAGGTAATTCAATAAACTAACACCACTACACATTTCAAAACGCAGAGTTACGCAAGCAAGAGCAATTTGCTATAGTGTGAAAGTAGTAAGAAAGGAAAACGTTGCAGAAAGCCAGAAGCAATTGTCATCTTCATCAATAACTATAAATCATTGAATCTATATTTTTAAAGTAAAATGCACGATGGTAGTAATAGAGTATAGATTACCATAATAATTGAACAGAATACTGTTGAACAAACCCTATACATTCACGCACCAAAAAAAAACTACTAAAAGTGAAATTTCCATAAACTATTGAGTTAAAGTTTGTTACGTGCATTCCAATTAATCAACCAAATGTGACGAAATAGCACAGTGTGGTATTGTATATGCAATATAAAAAGATGGCATAACTAACAGTTGAATATTAATATTTACATATACTTGGAATCTTTATGGTTTTTGTAATTTGACCATGTCCTTTAAAAGGTTAATATATAAATAGGAAATGCATGCACAGGTCCCAACCAGTTTTCATTAGGAATAAAAGTTTTTCCTCCCAGGTTCTTACAATGGGAGTATATGGACTAATAAGAAGACATTTAAATGGAAAAGGTAATGAAAAAAAATACAAGTTTCCCATTATAGTTACTATCCATAAGACCATAACTAGTTATTGCTGTAAATGCAGTTCTCATAATCTCTCAAAGCAAAGCAAAAAAAGAAAAAAGGTATATCCGTTCAATTCATACAACTGCTCATTGTTATATAACCATTGAAATAACCAGCAAGCACAAAAAAAAAATGCCACGCTTATTTCGTAAACACTGTGCAAAATTAATTTGCTTAAAGAAGCATAGAAACTACTTAAGAGTGCATAGCTGAATTAGAACTAATGTCTGGCTGACTTGAACTATTGCAAGGTGCTGCCGAAATGCTTCTGCAAAAAGCTATTTCACTTAAGCACCACCACAACTCACAAGCATAAAGCAGCCAAAGGTCATGGCTAAACACACTCTATAATTGTTAAGGTCACAGGCCCAAAGATTCAATTGTTTTGATCAGTATTGCATTCAAAGACAAATGCTAATTGCACAGTTGTGCATACTATAAAAGGTAAACTTTGTTATAAAGAGGCAAATCCATTTATGGCATACCTATCAATTCGACGATGCTCCAACTCAAGATCAATCTTTCTCCAATCCTTGCCTTTCTCCTGAAGAACTACCTCTCTTGGCTTCGCATCCCCAAAAGGATTAACCTTCGGCCGAGCCCTCGGCACACCTTCACTACCCACAGCTGATGTCTGTGATCCAGGGCTCCCAGGAAGAGACGAATGCGCACTTCCTGGCCTACTAGACTGTGAGCTGGTTGGGCGGCTAGTCTTATGATCAATCTCTGTCTCCATCTTCCTCCAGTCCAGCCCTTTTTCAGCAAGAATGTCCTCGCGGGGCCTCGCGGCGCCAAATGGGCTTGGCCGGCTGCGTGCCGCCTCGGCAGGAGGCGGCGTAGGGGTAGCCGAGGCATCCCGCTTGGGCGGATCAAGCACTAGGCGTGGCCGCTCACGCTCGCCATTGTGCGGAGGCAGAGGAGCGGCACGGGACCATCGGTCGGAGTCGGTCGAGGTAGGCGAGTCGCGGAAGCCACCGCCACCGCCACCGGAGCCGAGGCTCGGGTAGCGGGACGGCATTGGCATCGGCTTCTTCCCGCGCGACCAGTCGCTGTCGTCGTCGGCGCGGCCGAAGGAGGAAGCGGCGGGGGCGCCGCCGCCGCCGCCCCCGAGGGATCCGTACCTGCTCCGGGCGCCCGAGTCGGCGGGCGACGGCGTGAACGACTTCTTGTTGAGCGACCAGTTGCCCGACTCGTCGGCGCGCGACGGCATGTCGAGATCCGCGTCCCTCCCGGGGCCGCCGCGGCGGCCGTCGTCGTCGAACCCGCCGCGGCGCTCCCCGGAGCCGTAGGAGCGGAACCCGCCGCCGAGGCGGGACCGATCGAGCTCCTCCGTGGACCGCTCCCGCGGCCCGGTGGGCAGCATCATCATCTCCTGCGGCGTGAGCCCCTTGGGCTCCGCGGCCGCGGCGGCGGGCCGCCTCCCGGCGGCGGCGCCGTAGGTGGTGAACTCGGAGAGCGAGAGGGTGGTCCCCTTCTTCTTCTTGGACTTGCCGGCGGCCGCACCCGCGGCGGCCTCGCGGAGGCTGGGGAACCCCGCGGCCGGGGCGGGTGCGGCGGCGCTCTCCCGCTCCTCCTCCTCGGCGCGCTCGGCGTCCAGCGCCCACGCGCCGGCGCCGCCGAGGCCGCCCCAGGCCTTGGACATGGCGGTGGCGGGGACGAGATCTAGGGTTTGGCGCTCGGCTAGGGTGAAGGAGGAATGATGGCGGGGAGGCGGAGGAGGAGGCGGTTGGGTTGGCGATGCCGATGCGGAGAGGAGACGAGACGAGACGAGACGGGGACGAGACGAGGCGAGCGGAGCCCCGGGTGGTGGTGGTGGTGGGTGGGTGGGTGAAAGCGTGCGTGGGCGTGGCTCGCGCGGCGCGGTGGCTGTCTTGGCTTTTGGCTGCGTCGCTCGCTGCGAATGCGTGCAGCGTGCGGGGTGGAGAGCGTGCCGTGCCGTGCCGTGAGCCGTGACGCGGTGGGTGGGCTTTGAGTTCTCAAGTTGTTCGGTGTGTGTGTGTGGGGGGGGGGGGGGGGGGTGGTGCGCGTGGGATGATGCTGAACGAAAACGAAAATAGCCTGTAGATTCTTCATGAGCAGTGCTACTGCTACTGTTAAGTTTTTTTTTCTAACATCTATATAGAATTGTTCATGAATTTTAAAGAATGTGATGGGATTCAATCATTTGTTTCTAAGGTGTTCATAGGATTTTTTTTCTATAGAATTAAAATAATCTAGAATTTCTATGTTTTCTTTACAAATCAAATGGGCCCTCAACATTTTTCCCAGTGCCCATGGCCGATTGCCTATTTGCCTGACAGACATGCACGCATCGCATCAGCACGGCCGCCGGCGCCGGGGGCCAGAAAATCCGTAGCTTTCCGGTGACAGCGGCAGCAACGGCTGACCGTGAGACACGTGGAAATTCTGTGGGCGACCATCTCACTCCTCGGCTCACCAACGAGTTCACTTCTTCGTTCAGAGGCTCTCCTCTGTCCCTTTCTCCTTTTCTTGCTTCATTTTTTTCACAAGAGATCTCTCCTCTTTTTTTTCCTACAAAGGTGCCTTTTTTTTCATCCTTCAGCAGAAAGTCCACGGAAATTTCTGCCTTTTTGATCTTTTTTAATGGAGGACCTGACTTTGCCGTCCACGGAATCAAATAAATACTACCGATGCTTGGGATAATCCTCCAGTAAATGTGCAGCCAATTTTTCTCGAACAATATGAGTTTTACAAGAGAGAAATGTACACTGTTCGATTCTAATTATCTGGAATATGCCCAAGCAGGTCAGAGGCTTAGTTTAGAATTTCGTTGGCCCTTTCAGAGTTGCAAGAGGAAGGGAATGAGATCCCCTGCAAAGCAAGCTCACATCATACACAGAAACACAAGAGATGCTAGCCGTCAGAAACTCAGAATGGATTAGAGAAAACGGGAAAAGGCTGCTCAGACAACTGCAGAGAGACGAACTTGTAGTCGTTGGAGTTAACCTTCTTGTCCTGGTTCCTGTAAAAAAGAAAAAAGAAGAAAAGAAAAGAGGAAACCTTCATGTCCTAGTGATGGATATCATACCTGCTCAATGGATGGAGAAAAGACAACATTTTTAGGTACTTTTCAAGTTAATGAAGTTTGCATAACAGAATGCTGTTATAACTGAAAATACTTGTTTTTAGCTACGAAAATGTGCTGCATTCGATCATAAATATCTGACATTTAGAATAAAATTTTTAAAACTTTTAACCATTAATTTTACATTAAAAAGTTTATAAAATCTATACTTTTTAGGTAAATATACGTATACCATCTCTCTTTTTTTTAACTAAGCATGTGAGACATTATTAATTATCAAAGTTTCAAAATTTACCAAATCTTATCCTACACGTCAACTGAATATTTATGATCAGAGAAAACACATGTTTTTGGAAAGCTGATGTTACCGCTTAAAAAGTAATGCAAAAAGCTCAAACAAAGCCAAAAAAAACCCTCACATTAAAGTTACTAAAACAGCACTATTCCTATGTACAAATAACTGATCCTTTTTTGCCAACTTTCAATTTTCCAACATATGTGGTTCTCAGGACATCTCTCCCAGAAGGCCAGTATTTGTTGCTTGAGCATCTCTGAAAGAAATTCACAGCTTATATGCCTACTGAAGTACTGAACTGGTGATCTTCTCCACAATGTTAGACCAGCACCAGCTTCAGAGCCACACACACCTATTATAGAGGTTGGGTGCAGCTAATGGAGTTCATGCTCATGCTGCAGACACTTGAAGCCCATAAGAGGTTAATGCACTAAATTATTCGAAGATAACAACAGGGAGCTAAATGAGTTAGCACTATTAGCCCAGCACAAAAGGGTGAAGAAAACAATTACATGTCAGAGCACCCAAGAAAACACAACTACACAAGTACTGGCAGATTCATGAAAGCTAAATACTGCATGTAAATGTGGTACAACAAATGCAAAGAAAGAATTAGTATGGTTGGGTGCATAGACTGAGACAATCATCTCAAACAGCTCAAATTGCATACACCTAATTCCAATAGGCAATTAAGCAACCTCATTATAAATGGCACATAAAGAACAATCACTTGGACGCACCAATTTGTTAACCAACAGATAATTAATATTAGTTCCCCAAAGAAAAAGAAGATAATGAAATTGATATATATGTAAGCATCAGAACTAGCATCAAGATAGGTTTGTCAAGCAAGCAAACCACATCACAGATGATGCTAGGCTGATAGCTTATATAATCTGAAGCAAGAAATGTACTACATCCGTACATGTGTAACTCTACAATTCCATGTGGCATCAAGCTCAATAGATGAACAATTGAACACATGACAGTAGATGGCACTGCATAGCCAAATTAGTTGCAAACAGATGTATCTTTGTCGTGAATATCACAAAGTATGCAAATTCACTTGAAGAGAAAAGTGCCATACTACAATTTCACATGAGCAACCCCTAAAACTCAACGCGTAATAACAACTACAGAGCATTTCGCAAAGAGTAAACAAGGAAAATTCTCACGGTGGATATGCTCCATCCAGTTTACTTCAAGATCGTATTGATGACGCCGGCACCGACGGTCTTTCCACCCTCACGGATGGCAAACCTCATTCCCTGCTCACAAGCGACGGGCTGGATGAGCTCCACAACCATCTTGACACGGTCACCAGGCATGCACATCTTCGCCTCCTCGTCCTTGTCGTTCATAATCTTTGTGACATTCCCCGTCACATCGGTAGTCCGCATGTAGAACTGAGGGCGGTAACCAGGGAAAAACGGTGAGTGCCGTCCACCCTCGTCCTTCTTCAGGACATACACAACCGCATCAAACTTGGTGTGTGGCGTGATGGAAGCAGGCTTCGCAAGCACCATGCCTCTCTCGATATCATCCTTCTGCATACCTCGGAGAAGCAGGCCGACATTGTCCCCAGCCATCGCATCATCCATGGTCTTCTGGAACATCTCAACACCAGTCACCGTGCAGTTGCGAGTCTCCCGGATACCGACGATATCGACCGTGTCCCCAACCTTGACGGTGCCACGCTCAATACGGCCAGTGGCAACGGTACCACGACCGGTGATGGAGAACACATCCTCAACAGCAAGCAAGAACGGGAGGTCGGTCTGGCGCTGTGGGACAGGGATGTAGTTATCCACGGAATCAATCAACGAGAAGATCCCGTCCACCCACTCATCATCGCCGCGCTTAATGGCAGGGTTGGCCATGAGGTTCTCGAGCGCCTTGAGCGCGGAGCCAGCGACGATGGGCACTTCGTCGCCATCGTACTCGTAGGAGGAGAGCAATTCGCGGACCTCGAGCTCGACGAGCTGGAGCAGCTCCTCGTCGTCGACCTGGTCCTTCTTGTTGAGGAAGACAACAATCTTGGGGACACCGACCTGCTTGGCGAGCAGGATGTGCTCCTTGGTCTGCGGCATGGGCCCGTCGGCGCCGGAGACGACGAGGATGGCGCCGTCCATCTGCGCGGCGCCGGTAATCATGTTCTTGACGTAGTCGGCGTGGCCGGGGCAGTCGACGTGGGCGTAGTGGCGGGTCTCGGTCTCGTACTCGACGGTGGCGGTGTTGATGGTGATGCCGCGGGCGCGCTCCTCGGGCGCCGCGTCGATCTCGTCGTACTTCTTGGGGGCGCTCCCGCCCACGGAGGCGAGCACCATGGTGAGCGCCGCCGTCAGCGTAGTCTTCCCGTGGTCGACGTGGCCGATGGTGCCGATGTTGACGTGCGGCTTGGTCCGCTCGAACTTCCCCCTCGCCGCGCGCACTACCAGCAGCCCCGCGCGCCGCCCCGTGCCCCTGGACGCCGCCGCCGCCGCCGTGCGCCGGAACCGCGCGGGCGAGGAGAATCCGACGGAGGAGCCGAGGCGCGGCTTGGAGGAGGAGGTGGAGAAGACCAGGGAGGTGGATGCGGAGGCGGAGGCGAGGGAGGCCATGGCGGAGGCCGCGGAGGAGGGAGGCGCAGAGGAGTGGGGGGGGGGGGGAGGGTTCGGATTTGGGGATGGATAGGGGAGAGCGGAGAGGGGTTTGCGCTTGCTTATCTAGAAGAGAGGGATAAGGGGAGGGCCACGGATTAGGGGAGGTGCGGCGAAATCGTGAGGCGCTGGGCGGCCCGGGGGTTGGGTCTCGCGGAGGCGTGTGCCTGTGTCGTCGTTGTGGGGGAGGTGAAAAATGACGGGAAATCTCGGTGGTTTTGCGGCGTTTGGGCCAGAAAAAATGGGGTTGAGGCCCAGGTTTGGCCTCGTCACCCGGAACGCCAACCTCTCTTTTCGCGTTGTCTGTTTTGTTTGGTGGCGCTCTCTTCTGCCGGTGCACGTAAAACCGCGCGGCCCTGGTCGTTCCATTCCCGCGGATGTTAAGGGGGGTGATGTCGACTGTGAAGCGGGAAGAGTGACGGTGATGGTGCCGTGTTCCCGTGCAACGAGCGTTGTTATTTCAAGATAGTAAAAAGAGGTGATGTTAGTGCATTGGGCTTAACCGTTCCCCTAACAAATATTGGGCACCACGTTAGCTTCTACCGCATCCACTTGAAGTCCGCAATACCAAACTTGGTAACGTGTTCCTCAATCTGATTCAGGGAGAGTGGAGTGTGGAGCGACAAAGAACAGTGCGTTGTGGGGGTCGTGACCTCGCTGTGTAATCCTCCACCCACGAGCTCGGTCCCCACTTCCCAAATCGCCCTCAGCCATCCTCTCGCGCACGCGTCGGCTGCCATTTTTCCCATCATGTGCCTGTCCTCACCATCCCTTCCCTCATTGCCATCCCACCATGGCTAGGAGTAGCCAATAAAGGAAGCAACAAAATTAAAGTTTTCCAACATAAATACAGGACCAAAACACGAAATCATCACCTAATTTCTACATCTACAAGATTCTCAACTCACCAGCAAACCCTAGGTACTATTCAAATCTACAGCTTTCGGTGGTGCAGCAACTGACGTTGGGGCTGGAGCGGTGGCGGTGGCGCTAGAGTTACCGGTGGTGGAGCCGTCGGTCCCGGGACCATGATCACATCCCGCATCTCCGTTGGGGAAAGCGGCGACGCCCTAGGTCTCGACGGTGGCGGCACCACAACCAACTCCTTTCATACTCGTAGCCACTGCGGAGCTTCATCTTCAGTACTCTTGACGGCGAGGACTGGCAACACACGGAGCATCACGAGGCGAGGATAGAAATTGCGAGAGGAGGGATGGAAAAGATGAGTCGTGAGAGGAGGCGATAAGTCACAATAGAAAACATAAGGGTAGCAATGTCATTTAACCCACTTGTAGCTATTAGTCTACAAGGCCATTAGGCCACGACGTGGCCTCGTTCACACCCACTGTAGGGCAAGTAGTCTCCATGTGTGTCTTCGGATTTTATGGATCTGTATAACTCTCTTTCTGCGCACGTAAATTAGAGCAACTCATTATCGCATGATTAATTAAGTGTTAACTTAAAAACTTAAAATAGAGTACATGCCAAATACTATATCTATAATTCATGATTAATCCTCCATTTACAGTTTGGTACAATAAAGTTTGTTTTTCTTTACGAAATTGACTCTAATTGCAAATTTATTTTTTTTTCTAAATATGGTACTTAAAAATAAACGAGAAAACCCATTCCCTCTCTCTTCCTCCCCAATACCCCCGCTTTTGGAGTCTCTCCTCGAAGACCGATCGCATCCGCCTCCAAACCCTAGACGCGGCGGCCATGGCGCGGCGATCCGCCCCTCTCCTCCAGCGCCTCCTCTCCCCCACTCCCTCCCCCTCCCCCTCCCCGCCCCATCCTCTCGCCGCCGCCGCCGTCTCCCGCCGCACCGTCACCTACATGCCGCGGCCGGGGGACGGCGCCCCGCGCGCCGTCACGCTCATCCCGGGCGACGGCATCGGGCCCCTCGTCACCGGCGCCGTGCGGCAGGTGATGGAGGCCATGCACGCGCCGGTCTACTTCGAGTCCTACGAGGTCCGCGGCGACATGCCGACGGTTCCCCCCGAGGTCATCGACTCCATCCGCCGCAACAAGGTCTGCCTCAAGGGCGGCCTCGCCACCCCAGTCGGCGGGGGTGTCTCCTCCCTCAACGTGCAGCTCCGCAAGGAGCTCGACCTCTACGCCTCCCTCGTCAACTGCTTCAACCTCCCGGGGCTGCCCACCAGGCACGACAACGTCGACATTGTCGTCATCAGGGAGAACACCGAGGGCGAGTACTCCGGGCTTGAGCACGAGGTCGTCCCTGGCGTCGTGGAGAGCCTTAAGGTATGGCGAATTCCGCTTGCTGCTAACTCACCTAGTTGATGTAGTGTTTGCCAGGGTGCTTGGGTTAATGCGTGTGCCGAGAGAACCCCAAATGCAACTTAGGTTTGCCACTTATCGAGCAATTTCGTCTATATACTTAGGACTGTTTGTTTTACCTACTGCTTGTTACTTTACTGGATTGGTAGGTTTATTGTCCACATCTAGTAACCTTAGTATTCAGTTGAATTGATGAAACTTACCATGTGTATTGACGCTTTTCTGAGATGTTAGTGGTTTGCATAATGAGTATTCGAGATCCATGTATTGCTGGGTTGTGCATAAAACACTTTAGGCATATGTAACTGGTAAGTTGTTTGTTGCAATGAAGCATGCTTGCTGTAGTTGAGATAGTGGTTATGATCGAATTATGTGGACTATTCAATACAGATTTCGATGGATGGGCTTCAAAATATCCTCAAATTAAGTCAGTTTTACAAAATTTATGTAATCACCTGTGTAGAAATTGATAAATCTCTGAGATGATCCAGAAGGACTTATGCTAATAAGCACCAAATGAAGCATAAAAATAATCTGATAACTTGCGGTATCCAATTATCCATCCTTTGAGAAAGCTATAAAATTATTAGGTTAACTATCATTGGTGTAGTTCTGATTTGAAGAGGAAACAAGTTCCTTTTGGGTCCTGTGACAATTTTCTTAGGTGAATGGATCTCACAGTTGAAGTTTTGGTTGCTAGCTGCACATTAGGAGCAGTGCTTTGATTTCAAACGGCTCTTGATGTTGGTTAGATCCTATATTGTTGGAACAGATGCTATGGTATGCGTTAGCATTAACAATTGACCTGAATGTGTAAACAGTTTAATACTTGATACATGTTATATTGACGCATGATGTATATCTACATAGTTTATATCTGATATTGCTAATCTGGTCACTAGTCCATGGTGATCTGAGTCAATTAGTTATATTTTTAACACTTTTGCCTCCATAAATGGCCTGTTGATGGCACTCTAGCTGATTAGGTCTTGGCAGGCAGTCCTTTACTGCACATATTCTTTTATACTCCTATTTTGCAAATTTGCGTGAGTACCGATTTCTGAAATAGAACGTATGTAAATGTTTTTGTCACTTTTCATTTCATCATCTAAAGGAATTTTTTTCTATATGGTACTGTTACTAAATGGATTTACTAGGTGATCACAAAGTTCTGCTCTGAAAGGATTGCCAAGTATGCTTTTGAGTACGCGTACCTCAACAACAGAAAGAAAGTGACTGCCGTGCATAAAGCAAACATCATGAAGCTTGCTGATGGTTTATTCTTGGAGTCTTGCCGTGAGGTTGCAACAAAGTATCCTGGAATTCAATATAATGAAATCATCGTGGACAACTGTTGTATGCAGCTTGTTGCTAAGCCTGAACAATTTGATGTTATGGTAAGTATGTTAGTTCTATCATTACTATGCATCTTAACAAATGCATTCTGTTTGTAACGTCACCATATTCTATACTCACCTACTGATCTATGCTTTTATCATGTCATAAAAACAAAAACAAAGTAAAGTTTTTAGTTTCTGCTTGATGTTTACATATATTGATCAAATGCACATTATCAGAGTACTTAGTAGATTATCTGCAATGAATGTGATAGAATATTAATTCCCTTTGCACTTCTGTCTGAAGGATGTTTTCTTGATTGTCACAGAGTTTTCAGATCAAGTTTGTTTGATTAACTAGGAACTTTTGATTTAGCATGCTCTTGTTTTGTGTGTTTGTAGGTCACGCCAAATCTTTATGGCAATCTGGTGGCTAACACGGCTGCAGGTATTGCTGGAGGCACTGGTGTCATGCCTGGAGGTAAATTTTGAACTATCGCTTGTAATTCTGTACTTTTACCTGCACAAATAGTCAATACGGCTATCAGGAGCTGGAAACCGACAGGCTTGCTTTTGCAGTTGTCTGTTAGTTACAGGCTATGTGTTGTGTGATATTTTGTGTTGCATTTTATACACTTTCTTGGACCCACTCAATTTTGTATGCTGCCAGAACCTCTTACAAATGTGTTAACTCTCAACTTGTGCATATTTCATATTTGTGCATATGCAAAAAACAAATACATACAATCCTCATGAAATGCACAAATTTTAGGTAATGTGGGTCAGGACCATGCTGTCTTCGAGCAAGGAGCTTCTGCAGGAAATGTTGGAAACGTCAAAGTTGTGGAGCAGAAGAAAGCTAACCCCGTTGCTCTGCTCCTCTCATCTGCCATGATGTTGCGGCATTTGCAATTCCCATCATTCGCTGACCGGCTGGAGACGGCGGTGAAGCGTGTCATCGCAGAAGGCAAGTACAGAACCAAAGACTTGGGCGGCAGCAGCACCACGCAGGAAGTCACGGATGCAGTGATCGCGCATCTTGATTAATTGCTGGCCGGCTGCGTTCTTTTGAAACAAAATTTTCCCTTTGGACTAGGTGTCTAGTCCCGACTGATTTTCGTTTCTTATAGCGTTAGATCATCATTTCGTTCGTCACAGCCTTGTACAATCTTCAGGTGTCTTGTGTCTGGTGGATTTTGCTTCGGAATGATGGAGCAAATCACCAGGAATCCAGGATCGATTTTTAACGCAATGTTTTTGCGGTCTTAACTGGAAATAAGAGAGAACGATTCTCTTAACTGTAACACTATTGCGTTGATTACTTCTACTTATTATTACATATTCTGATCTTTACTATAATGATAATGTCTGCCTGATTTCCTTGTAGAAAGAGTTGTGTTGCAGTTAACTGGCAAAATACTAATTCTTGTTATATATTCTAAGAACTCGTTCTGGTCTCAAAATAATAAGTTTAAAATGCATGTAGTGAACATGAGTTTACTTTAACAATAAAAATTATTCAAAATATGGATTTTGGATGTATAAATATGTAACTTTTAAAATTTATGTTAAAAGGTAGTAAAAAATTGTATAATGTTGACAAAAAAGTCTAAAATGACTTGTTTTTGCGGTATGGAGTCTAAATTTTGCAATGTAAAAGAGGATTTATTCTCACATTATTGGCGGAAATAGTACATAAAAGGAAAAAAAAAGAAACAAGGCCGCGCTAAGCTGGCCTGGCCCAAATATTTGCAAGCTGGCCCATATGGCCCGCCGCCTCTTGTGATGCAAACCCTAATAAAACTTCTCCCCTTCGCTCGCCTCCAACCTCTCTTCCTCCCCGACCCGAGGCGGCGGCGACCCTAGCTTCCCGATTCTCCCATCCCCCCCATGGCGTCCCACCTCGACTTCCGCTACCTCGACGAGGGCCTCGGCGGCGAGCGCGGGAAGCGCAAGCGCCGCGAGGCGGAGGAGGCGGCCGCCGCCGACTCCATGGACCTCGACGCCGACGCCGACGCGCCGAGGCCGTCCAAGCTCCGCGCGGTGCCCTCCCTGTCCGACCCCTCCAAGCCCGCCTCCTTCGGGCAGCCCACCTACGACGGCGTCATCGCCGGGCGCGTCTCCGGGCGGCGCTGGAAGGAGGCCCGCACCCGCCGCGCCTCCGCGCTGGCGGCGTCCCGGAAGCCGACCCCGCTGGAGCAGCGCGCCCGCGACAAGTCCCTGAAGCGCGCGTACCAGGCCCGCGTGGCGGAGCTCAAGGAGGAGATCCGGCAGAGCAAGGCGGCGAAGCGGAAGCAGCGGGAGGAGCGGGAGAAGCGCAAGAAGGAGAACGTGCTCCGCTCGGGCACCAAGCTGCAGCGGGTCACCAACCCCAAGACCATCCAGAAGATCGCCAAGTCCAAGAAGCGGAAGCAGCTCAAGGTCGTCCCCGACGAGTTCCTCGGCGGCAAGAAGTCGGACGCCAACCGCCGCATGCAGGTGCCCGGCCTAGACAACTGAAGATCGCCTTACCAAACAAATCCTTTTGTTATCTGTGATACCCATGTTACAGTGCAGCTTACTAGTTTTTACATTGCGCAACGAGATTTTGTACTAATGCTTTAGCATGAGATTTTAAGTATGGTCAATCCAGCAATTATGTTGGTATGAATGATGTTGGGTGCAGGTTCGTTGCTGATTTTCTGTGTTCCATGCATTGCTGATTGCCTGCTTGAAATTATCTTAGGATTAATTTTAGGTGTTCTCTTTGTGAATTTCATTGATTGTTATTATCTGTTTTGATGATTGCTGAGAAGAGAGGGGGAAAAAATCCACCCATCAAAATTCAAAATCTCTTTGGACTGAAACAAGCAGGGAGCAGTGATTGTAAAACGACGAGCTGAATTTCGGGTTGGTCCCAATGATCGATTGTTTCTCTGAAGTGTTTTGGTCTGATGTTCGATTGTTTCTATGAAGTGATCATACCAGGGTTTACCAAACCGTGTGGAAATAATGGTATATCTCGCAGTAATTGCACCAGTCAAATCGTGAGGTGGCGGTAACCCTACCCAGAACAGCTTGGTGAACCCTGGATCAACTGTATTTCCTATTGTTTGCTCCCGAGCTGCTTTCATAGCTTTCTTGAAGATCGTAAGATGCCGCGCTGCTTGGTTTGGTTTATGTTCTGGAATTTTGAGACCTTGGTCACCGAGTCACCATCTGTGCTGGGTGCTTAACTGCTTATTGCTCTTGATCCATGTGACAATTAATTATTAATACCTTGTTGCAGCTGTGTGGTGGCGAGGTGCAAAGATTTGTGAACGCTCGATTCTTGCAAACTGTAAACTAAACATCCATTTTTCACTGACACTGTTTAGGGATGGCACATCGATGCATGTAAGTTTTTGCCGGCCTTTGATATATGCAAACCGGTGATCTCCAATTCTCCATACGCCGCATAACGTCGATTTATGTCTCTCATGTCTCCCCGCAGAAACATTCAGGCCCGGTTTAGTTACCATAAATTTTTGTTTTGGGGTATCAGTTTATCACATCGAATATACGGACATACATACGGACGCACATTTAAAGTATATTAAACATTATCTAATAACAAAAACAAGTTACAGATTCCGCTAGGAAACCGCGAGACGACTTTATTAAGCCTAATTAATCTGTCATTAGCAAATGTTTACTGTAGCACCACATTGTCAAATCATGGCACAATTAGGCTTAAAAGATTCGTCTCACAATTTACACGCAAACTGTGTAATAGGTTTTTTTTTCCACATTTAATACTCCATGCATGTGTGCAAACAATCGATATGATGGGTGAAAAGTTTTTGTTTTAGGAAATAAACAAGCCTCAGCCTAAAGATGTTGCTGACGATCTGCCCGTTAATGGTCTCTTCTTGCTACTCGTTCAGTCCCAAAAAATTTCAGTCCTGAAGATTAATTTGAATACGCTACTCGTTCTGTCCCAAAAATAAAGATTAATTTGAATATGGTGTATGTTTAGATTTATTTTTAGAATTGGAATTTTCTCCACGTGTCAGTGAGAAAAATAATAGGTTGAATTGGTCCGCCAATTTCTAAGGGACTAGGCTAACTTGATCTTGGTCTTAGGGGAATATTCTGTGTCATGGATCATCCCATCTTATTTGTCCTCAAACCAAACAAACTGAAAAATAGGTTTAATACCCTTAAATAAGGTAATTAATCTATACAATTATAAATTCTTCAGTTTTAAAATGTACAATTAATATTTACTTATTTGTAGTCATGCCATTATAACTGTTGGCGTATCAAAAAAAAATGCCACTGCATACCCCATCGATACATCGAACAAAATGTGTAGACTATATTGTTCTCGTCTTCTTCCTCAGTCTCCTCCCATCAGCCACTTTAAGCCTGCAACTCCCTATTGAGCACTGGTCTCCCCGTCGAGGACGACGGCCATCGCTGCCGATGGAGGCAGGGTCTAGTTCGGCCTCCACCCCCTCTTTGTTTTCCCTAGTCCTCTGGTGACCACCGTTGCCAGTAGCAGAAGGGTGCGACTCAGCCTCCGTCCCCCGCCACCGCCATTGTCGTGACCTCCACCTCCCTTGGCTGCCTCCTCGAGAGTGACCTTGTCGCCGCCATGGCTGAGCTCCAGCGCTATGGCCTTTTGGTTCCTCAAGGAAGGAATAAGTCAAGATGCACGATCCAGATGTTGTTTCATATATTATGTCTATTTTCTCTCACTTTTCTCATTTCCTCCCAATTTTTCAAAAAACGGAAATAAGTAAGAAGGAGCAGTAGTAGTAGTTCGGCCTCACTTGTCGGAGACTGAACTACCGCTCGCTTTCTTCAGGAGATCAAGTAGCAGCAATTGGCTTCACCTGTAACCGACCTAGAAGTTATTTTCTATTTCCCACTACTTTTCGTCATTTTTTCTAATATTTTCACAAATTTCACCTTTTCATCTTCTTTTCACATTTTTTATTTATTTTCGGCTTCATATTCAAATTCTGTGAGGCAAACGTGCTAATGGGCCTACACCAGCCTACGTGCTATATTTGGGCCCGTGCAGCACGGCCCGGCCCGCTACAGGAGCCGTGCCACCGGCATGCCCGTGCCGTGCTCGGCCGGCCGCCCGTTCGGCCAGCACTACGCTCTACGGCCTGACGGACGGCAGTAGAGCTGGGACTTGGGCCGTGCCGGGCTAGCACGGCACGGCCCAGCGTGCTTCGTGCCAAATCGGGCCGTGCTTTTATCAGGCGGAAAGGAGCGTGGCGTCATGGCAGGCGCGTGTGTTTTCCGCCGTTGGATCGAGCCCCGCGGCGGGTATCGAGGGCTAGGATGTGTCCGTCCCCAACCCGGGATCGAGCGCGGAATTGAACTAGAGAGTGAAGACACTGGCCGCGCAACCTGTACCATCACTCCATCAGATTAGCTGATTTTTTTTTTCAGCGCAGCCGACACGCACGCACGCACGCGCCCCGCCGAGCCGCGGCCACGATTCCGAATTCGAATCTGCATCTCTCCCAAATCTAAACCCCCCGAAAAAACCAAAAAAAAAAAAACCCGAAACCCAAATCGAAATCCCTTCCTCCCTCACCCACACGCGCGCTCCCCCGCCGCCGCCGTCTACACGCGCACGGATGGCCGCCGCCGACGGCGACGAGGACTGGGAGATCTGCAACTGCGACGGCTTCGTCTACAAGCGCCGCCGGGTCCTCCACCCGCCCGACCTCGAGGACGCCGCCGCCACCGCCGCGACCTCCTCCGCCCCGGGGCCGCCACCCGAGGCCGTACTCCGCCGCCGCCGCCGCCAGGCGCTCCTCCGGCTCCGCGCCAGGTACCTCGACGAGCTCTCCCGCTGGGAGTCGCTCTCCTCGGACGTCCTCGCGCCGCTCCCCGCCGCGCCGGCCGCGGACCTTCCTCCCCGACCGCCTTCCGACCCCGTCGCCGCCTCGCCGCCTCCCGGCTCCTCCTCCTCCTCCTCCGACCTCACCGTCATCGACGGCCTCCTCGCCCAGGTAACTCACCGTAACAACTCGCCCATTCCTCACCTCCCAGAATCTTGAAAACCCTTGCTCTTAAATAAAAATAAAAATGAAACTGAGAACCCTTGATATGAAACTGTTACAGCATGTTTTTGCCAACTGGCTAGGTTGCAAATTTTTTAACATGTTTTTCCTAATCCTCTAATCCCCACTGTAGATCATCAAGTAAGAATGTTAGTATGGTATGTTGATGTACTTATAAAGACTTATTGTTCACTATCCATTTGTGGGGGTGGTGGCCATTGCAGGCGGAGGTGACGGAGCAGTTGCTCAAGCGGTTGACGGAGGTGTGCGACGAGATCGATGAGTTCTGCCACGCGCACGAGGCAGCCTTGGTGGATGCCGTCACCGACCTGCCGGTATGGGGCGATCCACGGGAGCTCATGAACTCCTTGTGCAGCCCCGCCGAGCTGCCAGTATGTGGCGATCCACGGGAGGTCATGAGCTCCTTGTGCAGCCCCGGCGAGAAGCCTGTCTCTGGTACCAATTAGGCATCCCACCTACTCTATTGGTGCTTTCTATGCTTACGGCTTACCTAGATAATTTGCGTTATTGTGGTCATCTAATTTGGTGGCTGAAATTAGGCTCATATGTGAATGCTGTAGAATGGCTGAGACGGCCGCTGTTGTACTAAGGATGGGGGCAAATCAGCATGTTGTAACTAATTTAATTTAATTAGGGTATCTTGAGTTGAGATGTTAATTTATTTTTCTGTGGGATGCCATCAGAACTGTTGGAATTGTAGCTATGTATGGAAGAGCTGTTGTGCCTTGTTTGCTTATATGAAATTCGTGCTTTTCAAAAATGATGATCTTTTACTTCTTGGAGTTCAGCACAATATTGGCATAAATTTATTTTTGCACCTTCCAAATACAACTTGCTGTGTAGACAAGTTGAAAACTCAAATTCTTATCCAGGATATTGCTACTATTGTACAGTTAAGTTATGCCAGTTTGTGGAGAAATTAGTGTTTCATACCATAACTTTGAATGCAGTTGGCACCATGGCATCTACAGAGTACCATCTCAGTTTACTGAATCTCTGATTATTTTTGCTCTACTTGGATTGGAGGAAGAGGAATTGTGAAGCCAGTATACTGTCCAAAGGAGAGCTCATATAGTCTTCTTAATATTTGTTGTCTCAGAGGATGTGTCGGCTTCCTGCCAAGTGCCGACCACCAAAAAATCAATTCTCCTTCAAATTCTTCCCGTGACATCTCTGTTTCTTGTTGTATTGTTCCTTTGTTGAAAATTTGAAGACATCAAGCTGATCTCTGAACTGGTGACATCATCTGCCACTTTGCATTGGCTGTTCTGCAGGTATGACCATATGAATATTTTGTTTTGACAAACAAGTGCAATTTATGGTGCTTTTTGTTAGGAAAATGCCAACATTCTTTATAGAAAGTTAACATGCAGGTTGTGGTTAGTTCTCTGATGCCTGAATATAATTGCAATTCGATTACAACCAAGCCTGCATATTTCAATTTTTGTCCCTACATATTCCAAGTAAAATTATACCCTTATTTTTCATTTGTTAAAATTGTTGCTGTTAGACTGCAGTGTTGACGCTCAGTTAAAGTGGAATTCCTTAGGCTTGCTAAAAAAGATATGTCCACATTAAGTGAAGTGCATGTTGTGCAAACAAATATAGTAGGTAGATATCCGTCATATCAAGTATCAAGATGCATTTGTGAGGTATAATGGGTGAAGCAGGTGAAATGAAGTGAGATAAATCAGTAAGATTAGTTGTAAAATGAAGCTATAACCTATTGTTTGTATTGTAGTGTTGTATTTCATGCTTTTAACGACCTTGGCACTGAAATGTCTGGTGGTTATTTTGTGCTTGATAATGATTGCTGGTTTCTCTTCTCTTAGATCATTATGTGCAGGTAAAACTAGTTCTTTTGGTTGTCGATATTACTTCTCATTGAATCTGAACATATTGTCACTTGGCACATAATCTTATTATCACCCTACTTATCTTTCTATCTTTTGAGTTTGTAATGAAATATATTGTATCGTTGTATGATTAACTGATAAAACAACTGTGCTTGAAAATTGTGGCAGCAATGCAGCATGAGTTCAATTCTGAGACTATGATTTGATTGAATGACTACACATATAGCATAAGTTACAAATAGAGCTTACTGAGAACAACTATTACACTTTGTTAAATGCATGTTCTAAAAATGAAATATTCCAAGGTATGCATCCATCGTACAAAAATGCATTTGGTGAGATATACCAGCTGAAGATTTAAGAGAGCAAAAGAAAAGGAGAGGAATCAACGAAGAAGATGAGCTGCGGCTGCGAGCAACAGGAAGTGCCTAGGAAGAGATCCTTATCTCCGGACAAGTTCGTGACTAGGACCAAATCAAGTGTCTTGACGATGATGTCTTTAATGGTTGGCATTTTTAGTCTAGTTTGTGTAAGTTTACATGCTTGAGTTACAATCTTAGCATGTTGCAAGTTATACTCTGGTGCAGAACTAGTGAATGGCAAGAAACATTCCTTGCCAGCATCGTACAATTCTTTTCAACCTGCTTATGTCCAACTGCCATTTTCACTTTTTCAGCTTGCCTGGAGTATCTCCCATTGCAAAGTTTGATCTAGCTACAGTTTGGAGATTGTTACTATAATATTTCCTTCTTCTGTCCTAGTAATATTTGCCAATTTGCATCCCCTTAAAATGTGTCACAGTTGATGTGTATTAGTGTTTGTGTGTCAGTGCTAGTGTGTCAGTTTGTGAGTGTGTGTTTTGAGAATATGTTCTGTTAACAATTGGTCATCAATTCATTGAGCCCCACTCTTAAGATGTTCCCTTAGCAGATAACACCATGATTCTAACATATTTCATACTTTGGTTCTTGAACAAGCAGATGCAATATGGCTAACAGCGGCACAAGCACCAATAGGTCAATCTGGGATGCCAGTGGCATCATGCCACAAGCTCAAGCTGCACCAGCATGTATAACCCCTTTTGCAGCTTCATGTAACAACCACTCTGACGGTTATCACTTATCAGCAAAGAGCTCAAGCTGTGCCTTATCTTCCTGCAGCTGCATCCTATCAGCAAGGAGCTCATGCTGGGCCATATTGTGCTCCACCTTATGCATATGCCAACCCTATGTCTTACCAGCAGGCTCATGGGAATGCTGGCTAACCATCTGCAGGTTATGATCAGAATGCCATCTACAAGAATCCTGCCTACCCTGATGATCATGATCAGAATGCCATCTCCAACAATCCTGCATACCACCATGCTGGCTATGATCAGAAAATGCCATCTACAACTATCATCCCTACCCTGCTGGGTATGTTCAGAATGTCTACTCCAACTATCATGGCTACCAGGCAGCTTATGGTCGCGGCGGCGCCGCGACTGATGCGGTGAGCGTGATTCAGACAAGCGGTGGAGCGGCTACCGTCGTCGTCGCGCAAGCAGCTGATCCCCCTTCAGTCCTTCTGATGGTGCACTTCACCCCAAATCCACTGGAGGAGCTCAGATGATGTATCCCTATCTAAGAATTTCTGTTTCTGTTACCATTTTCTGACTGAATGGATGAAGTAGAGGTGCTTTCTGCAACAAGGCATCTTGAATTATGCTTATGATTTGATTGTTCGATGATTCTCTATCTGAAAAAACAATGGAGAAGATCTGTGTTTGGGAGAGCTTTACACCTGTTAATGGGGAGAACAGATTTTTTTTTTCACGATTGCGGAAAAGGATTGCACGTCAATATAATGGGGAGGAAGAGAGAGCACTAGCTGCGTGGTTCGTCGAACCTCCTGGACGATGACCACGATGACCGGAGGAATATGCTCCTCAGGCTGCGGCTGCTCTCCCTCGCTCGCTTCACCCCTCCTCCTCCTCCTCCTCCTTCCCGCGTGGTGGCGGCGCGCTCCTGGGCGGCGGCGGCGCCGGGATGGTGGTCGGCGAGGACGAGGCCGGACTCGAGCCTCCGCGCCACGGCGACGAGCTCGTACGTGTCCCACAGCGACTGCGCGAAGTCCCACGCCCTCTCGCCGCCGCCGCCGCCGCGCGTGTCCCGGTCACGGATCGCCGCGGCCTCCAGCTTGAACCGTGACGGCCTGCGCCGTCCCGGGCCTCCCACTCCCGCGCGGCGCGTGCCCGAGGAAGAGACGCCGCCGCCGCCGCCGTCGTCGTCCGCCCCTTGCGCCGCCGCCGACGCCACCGCGCGCGGGTTGCCCGACTGCGCGTGCCACGCCTGCGCCACCGCCTTGAGCAGCTCCACGTCGTCCTCGCCGCCCGCCGCCGCCGAGCCCTTCATGCCCGCCGCCCCGCGCGCGCGCGCGCGTCAGCCTCTCGTTTGCGCTCGCATGGATGTCCCACTTGGCGCGTTCTTTTCGGATTAGTGTACGCCGTTTGGCTTATTCAAGATTGAGCCGGAACAAGCACAACATATTTGCAAATAAAAAATAATTTATTAATAAAATTTTTATGCATGTATTCTAAATAATTTTAAAGCAAAATCTGAAAAATAAACTACGATGAAAAAAATCCCAAAATTAACTTAAATTTTAAGGTTGAAAATTCAAATTTTAGCTTATAAGTATAAGCGAAAAAATAGGATGTATTAGGTTTTTGGCTAATTAGTCGCACGTTAAACGAGAAATATATTTAGTACTCCATTCGTCTTAAAATATAAGAAGTTCTATAATTAGACACGGTTATTAAGAAAATAGGTAGAAATGAGTAGTGAAGGGTTGTGATTGAATAAGTAGTGGATGTATGTGAGAAATGTGAATGGTAAAGGGTTGTGATTGGTTGAAAATAGAATGTTGGTGGAGATGCTGTTATATTTTAGGACAAATCCTGAGTGCTAAAAGTTTATTTTGGGACGGAGGGAGTATATGATTAGTTAAATAATAATTATTAATTTTTTTAAAAATCGATTTAATTAATTTTGTAAGCACTTTTTTTACAGGACATACAGTTTAACTGTTTAAAAGACGTGTTAACAAAAATGAGGAGTAACTAACCTTAATTAGCACTTTAGAACGCGGGTTGATTTTGACAAAAAGAAAAGTCAGTAATCCGCTACAAAAATTGTACTACTTCCGTTGATGCCTGTGAGAAAAGCGTTTTTTTGAGTAAACTCTGACGAAACACAAGAAAAGGTTCAGAGTTGAAAACACAATCATGTGTAGGTCCACGGTTTTTCAGCCATCGGAGGTGGTGTGTGCACACACTCCACAAACAGTGGTAATGGCCACTCACTGTCTCTGCTGCTGACATGAACACCCCAGATTCAAGCCACAGAAATGGAAGATGCTATGGGGATATTCCGAAGCTCCAAGTGACTGTCAAGTGTAGACTCTGATGAGCTTTTGTTGCAGAACCTGCATCCATGGTCCGTCTAATGTCTGCTGCTAGTGGCTAGATAATCAAAGTTTTGAGAAATTTCACTATTCGATATCCAATTTGCAGTCATTTCAGTTTCCCTGTTCTGTCATGCATGGTGCAAGTAAATTCTTGTGCAGAAAAAAAAAAGCAGCCAAACATTTCCTGGCGAGGAACAAACCAGACCAAAGAAGAAGAGAAAGATCAGGCTTCTGAAGAAGTGATATTTCTGGATACTGTGATCAGCACTATAAAAAACGCTTTGGATTGCTACAGAATTGGATATCTGACACGCGGCGAATTGCCATCCTTTAAGTCATGTCAATTGCCATCAAATCTTTCTTGGTCAGTCGAGATGGATCTGCTTCAAGGTGTCCTGGGAGATAGGCAAACTGGTGGTAGCTCAGCCAAACATACACACATGTGGTTTGGCATTGGCAACCGGTGGAGGATGAGCACATGATGGCGACCACTGCGTCCATCACATTTGAGATATTCAGATCCTAGCTAGACGAATTATCCGTGCCTTTGTCTCAAGTCAAATTGCTCTGCTAATCTGCTTCTTCCAAGTCGTCGTCTCGTCTCTCTCCCGGTGGTCTGAACTTCTGTCCGCTGCACCACACACACACACACACCCGGAGAAAATCTTGATTTGCAGTGGTCTCTTATGTCCATTTTTCTTCTCCTTTTTGTCATCTGTCTGCACTAGCTAGCTGTGTGTGCGTGCTACTGTGGTGATCGCCTTTTGATCGCAAGAAAAAGAAGTGGCTGAGCTGAACTGAAAGTCTGATGAAACGAGTAGGCAATAGCCATGCAATCGATTGGTTATGACCAGAGAGGCAGAGATGAACTTTGTTTCAGAACATGAGAATTTAGCAAGAATAGCTTGCAAATTATACGATTTTGCAGTAAAAGCTAGTATTGAAATTCCGCCGTTCCAAACTTGACTGTCAAATAAACACGAGTCGATGTTAGTGAGTTTGACAGAAACAACAGGACTTCCTCCTAACCATGATCTCAACAACAACTCATTCCATCCAAATCAAACTATAGATTTTTCATATTAGCATTGAGTAGGCAAAAGCATACATGCGTGCGTGCCAAATGTCTCTATTACTTTGCGTCGTAATGACACATGCGTCTTCTCTGAAATCTCGATTTGATGGGCTTAAATACATTGGAACTTTGGAAATGTCAAGGTTAGGCAGCCAAGAGAGATCATCAATCACAAAGATCGACCTGGAAAAGAACACTTAAAATTTGGACAAGTGTCTGATCACATAGCTAAATTCATAGTTGTTGAGGAATCCTAGGTGACTTTTTTCCAAGTCATGTGTAGGGCGAGCATATTCCTTAACTGCATATTCTCTTCTCTCTCTCTCTCTCTTTTTAAAAAATTCTATATAAGCATGTACTCCCACTTCAAATGAATATGCTTATCTGTACTTAGTACTACATCTCTTAATGCCCTCTGTTATGAATAAGAACTACCCATAATTAAGGGGCTGTTTGGTTGGTTGCCACACTTTGCCACGCCACACTTTAGCCATGCCATAGTTTTTTAAGGCATGTGTTTGGTTCGCTGCCGCAATTATGTTATGCCACACTTTCTTAACTTTGGGATCCACATGTCATGCTCTCAAAATTAGAGATAAGCATGCCACACTTATGGCCAACTATTTCTAAGCCACATTTATGCCACCATACCACAACTAGTCTAAACTTAGTTATGGCAATGTTAGGCATCAACCAAACATTCCCTAAATCTTCTACTGATACATATAGGACCTGGCTGACATAAGAGCTGCCCTAGTTGAATGGTTCAGCAGATTCCTCTGATCTTCTGTCTGCTCATATATTAAACAGAGTATTACGATGGGTACATCTTGCACCAGTTTTATTTACAGAACTTTTGCTGTCCCTTTTTTTTTTTTACTTCTGGGATATGTATATCTACAGAAGATAAATAAATGGTTGGTATTGAAGCGATGGAACTTCCAAGACACTGTTCAACACGTCAGCTCTGTGTGCAAATGACTTGTATGGATAGGATAGGATCAGTTCAGAGATGCTTTTGTTGCTTTATACTTACAGATTTTATTTTGTTGCTTTTACTTCTGGACCGGATATGTATATTTCTACAAAGATAATGGTGGGTATTGAAACAGTAGAACATCCAATATACTGTTCAACACTTTGATTCTGTGGTAGTAACTGGCAAGTGACATCTGGATTGGACGGTAGATGTTTCGATAAGGCTCTGACCTTTCAAGATCGCCTCGGACTGAGCTCGATCAATGATCTGCCCAAAAAGTGCAAAATAGCTAGATTTTGATGACTACTTCCTCAATCCCAAAAAAGAGAATTCCTAGCATCCCAAGACAAATTCAGTGAGGAGTAAAAATGATCAAAATGACCCTCACAATGGAAAAAGTAATAGTGATGATAGGTAGGTAAAGGGTATTTAAAAAATAAAACTTCTCGTTTTATGAGCTGAAGGTAAGTAAGATGGTAGAAATTGGTTTTCTGTGGGACAAAAATCAAACTCTAGAAATTTAGTTTTTTTTTGGATGGAGGGAGTACTTCTCTTGTCTCATCTCTGAATTATACTGAATTAACAGTTAGATGCTTGTTGCTAAGCACACATTCTAATAACAAAACGATCCATTTTATGTATGCTAAATTGCTAGTGTACATAACGGTTTAATTTGTATCTCCGATTTTGGAAGTAGTACTAGCTAGTGTATTACCCAGCCATATATATGTGCCCCTGTCTGATCAGAACATGACGCTTTGTCATTAATACTGCTGGTGTTGATCGAGTCCGAGCATCACTAGACAAGTGGTCTGAGAAAATTGCATTTACTTTTAGCGAATTAAGGTGTAAGACTTGCGTTGTCGAGGTCAACTACACAGGAATGTGATCAAGGAATCACACGACCCTCATTAATTCTTTTTTTTTTTGAGAAACACAGTACAAACGCAGGCGCTCACAACATGCGCACACTCACCCCTATGAACGCACACACGCACACCCTACCCTTCTTGAGATTGACGAAGTCACCACAGGCGCCTCGCTGTCGACGGGTACGTCGCCTACCACTGAAATAATAATTAGCCGTAAATGCGAGTACCCGTGTCAAATCTAGGATTTGAACCCGGGTGGGCTGGTTCCACCACAAGGAACCTAACCAGTTGACTATGCTCACTTCGCGACCCTCATTAATTCTTTGGTTTCAACCACGGAAATTTCACGGGAATCAGTTTATATAGGAGTTAACACTTCACAAGAAAAGGAGACAAAAATCGAGTCTTCCGTGCTTTTCTTGTTTCTGTCACTCCTCTTCAAAAGTACACTGATAGAGGATTTAATAATTAAGTTATGCCGTGAAATAATATTTTATGAGTCACTACATATTCTCAAAGTAGTTTGAACTCTCAAGCTCCAGGCTACACACCATGGTTTAAATTCTAATATTCGCGGTGTGCGTAATAAAACTTTAACCAAGTCAAGAATTTATCATTGGCGTATGTCTTTTTAGCACCCGAAATGCTATTTACTGGGTATCATCCCCGATGTTTCGAAAAGGATCCCCAACAACGCACATGTGGTATCCCATATTCCCCTCGGCTTCTCGAGCGATGCAAGCACGGTCGCCTCCACCCTCTCGCATGCCACGATTGTAGCCGTAACCCTCTCCCCTTGGTTGCCGGAGCCCTCTCTATTATTTGTTCACCATCATAAACTCGTAATCGACCCTCTCTTCCCTTGTCATAGCCATTGTTGTCGTCATCCCCTCCATCCAATCTACTTCATTCCTCCTACATTATTTAAAATCCAGCAAACTCGTCGATGATATGGTTTGGAAATGACCAGCTATATCTACACGAAGGGGAGCATTTTGGGCCAGAGCCCTCGACGAAGCAACCGCTGGAAAGCGCTTAGGAGCAACGGCATCGGCTCAATGGTGGAGCTCATTGAGGTTAGGGAAGAAGGCGCTACACATGTGGTTTCATAGCGGTGGAGGAG